ATTCATAACCACTAGTACAGTCAGCATTCTGTAATATTATTTAATATGTATATGTGAATCAAGTATTCTACCACATGACAATTGGTATATATATTATATAATTGATTTGTATATGATATTTATAACATTAATAATACTAGTAGATAGCCAGTCAAAAATGACGGGGAATGAGAACTTTCTTCTTATATTTATGCTAGATGTAACCTGTTATTTGAAAATTATATCCAATTTTATTCTTTTTACCCCTTCCCCCCTTCAGGCCAGGTTCAATCCATTAAAACTAAGATTAAATTTGAGTAAGAATAAATTTAAAACTTTTACTTGATAATACCAATATGTTAACATTACTGATCATTTATACATAATATTTAATATTTTAAAAAAATTCCCAGGTAAAGTACAAAGCCATAATAATTTTGAAAAATTCATCCAAGCCGAAAGATCATAATAATTTTGGTAATTGTGAACTGAAATAAAACATTTAAATAATCATAATGAATTTACAATAAAAATCAGATTTTCATGGGCCTTGGTTTTTTGATCAGGCCGAGCACAAGCCTGCTAAATAACTTGTTTAAGGCCAATGTCTGACCCATAGTTAATAATAAAAAAATTATCAAACGCCCAAGCTTATAATTTTCCCCAAGCCCAGCCCAATATAATTTATAAAAATATTTTCCAAGCCCAGTCCAACTCATAATAATTTTATAAAAATTTTTCTCAAGCCTGGCCAACCCATAGTAATTTTCAAATTTTTTTTCCCAAACCTGGAGATAGGGAAATCTCTAAAAACCATATCTATTTTTTATTCTATCTTAACCCAGCTCACCTCTTCATACCAAGGCCAACCCATTTAGACTGAGTGAATACTATTTTTTTGAATAAAAATAATATTTAAATTAGCTTTTACCTGAGGGCCATATAAATATTCTGTGTTAAATATTACACCTATGCCTAATCAGGTCCACGCGCTTGGGAAAATTTTCTCAAACCTGCCAAAGACCGTAATAATTTTGGTAGTTGAGAACTGAAATAAAATATATTACAATGTATTTAAAAATACAATCAGAATATGAAAGTTGCATCTGCCTTGGTTTCTGATCAGGCCGGGCAATGTCTTCATAAGAAATTTTCAAGCCAATTTTTAGCCCATATTTAAAATTAAAAAATTTTTTAAAAAATGTTTAGCAAGCTACGTCCAAGTTCTAATTAATTGTGAAAAATATTTCCCAAGCCCAGACAAATTCAGAATAATTAATTTTTTCCTTGGATCCTGAAAAATAGTAAGGGGTTTATAAGAATTAAATCTGTCTATTATATGTATATATTAATTGGAAAAATTTTTCAAAATTATCATCAAATGAAGGGGATATATCTGATTTACCTATCATTATATGAAATTCATGAATACAAATGAAAGTACCATGCTGAAAATATGTTCATCCTAATTTAAATTTTAAACAAACCACCACCTTTCCGAATGATTTATTATTTAGTTACAAATTATAAAATTAAATTTAAGAAATTGATATTAAATTACAATAGAAAAAATAAAATATTTTAAGTTATCAAATAATAAGAGGTTAACTACAATCATAGTCAAATATATATAAGTAAAACAAAAATTTTATACATTTCATCAAAAATATTATAAGTTATGAATAACATACATTCTACAATTATGAAGTTATGAGAAAATATACAACACTATATTATAATAGATTGAATTATTTAATGGTAATTGAAGGATTAGTAAGTGGACATTTTTTACAAAATTATTTAATTCTTAATAATCTCTGTAATTATTGACATCTCGGAACAGTATTATTTTATATATGTATATAAAATTAACTGCATCATACCTTAATGAAATTGCTATCCCTATGTCTAATGATTCTGTACATTATGTTACTATTATTTATTATAGAATAATAGCTAGATCAAGATAATGACAACAAAGAAAATGAAAACCCTATAGTTATTAATAAAAATATTCCTATTCCTACTCTTAAAAGATATTTTATAATTTATATTATAATTTTATTATATAACTCAAATATAATAATTTATATATATTTTATGGAAAAATTATCTTTCAAAATAAAAGTTATTATTAGTTTTCCAACTGTTTATTAAATATTGATACAATTATTTACAACATATATTTATTTATTAAGTATATAAATAAAATTTAAATATAACCATTAATAAGTTCATATAAAGTTTAATAACTGAAAGGTAATATATAATAATAAATACAATTAAATATTTACTTATCTTTTAATTAATAACTAATAATTGAATCATATCAAACATTTTGAATATTTTAATTTTTTTAAAACTTAAATGTGTCCAAAATGTTGTTAATAATTTGTAAAAATTTTAAGGATTTTTTAAAACAGTTTGGACGCAGCTTAAAACAATATTTTAGTTAATTATTAAATTTTTTGGATTTAAAGAAAAGTTATTTGGAGAATAGAATAATATTTATTAAAATTATAAAAATAAAATTTGGTGTCTATTCTATCTCCAGTTTTGGAATAATAATAAAAATGATTATTTTAGAAAGGAACTATTAAATATACACATGAATTTCATATAAAACCTACATTTATCATGAAAAATTATTTAAATGCTTTTAAGACTTTCATAAATACTCTTTTAATTTCTCCCTTAACAATCAATCTTAATTGCTACCTAATAAATTAAGACATTGGATTTTGACCCTTGCCAATAATCTTCTAAATAGCCAATGGATACGACCACAGAGTTTTTGTGAGACAATCAGGTTGACCTCATATTTGATTTAAATCTATGATAGGAGGTCTTTGTTTAAAAGAGTATTTAAATATATTAACGTTTCCTGTAGGTTAACTATAAAAACTATAAAATAAAAACCTTATGAAGTGAAGATGGTAAAATGTGTTATAAAATTGAATGAATGTTAAGGTTGTTACATGATTACCATTGGACCGATTACCCCATAATCATTTTTATTGGACAAATTTTTTTTAAAAGATCACTATTGGCTAAATTTGATTGACGTTTTTTGAGGATTATTATAATAGATATCTATCCATTTTTCCAAAATCAAATGTGATAAAATGTTATTAACAAATATGGTTCCCGTTCTAAATGGCAAAAATAATAATCGCTAAAAATTATAAAAAATATAATCTATTTAAAAATAAATTAAGACTGTTGGTAGTATCATCTGTTTGTATAAAATAAATAAATAAAATCAACAAATAAAAAAAATAAAATTAAATACGTACCGATGACATGACGTAGCGATGACATGACGTAGCGTTGACATGATGTCACGATGACGTAGTGAGGACATCGGAAAATTATAATATAGATATATAATATATTTCATTTATAACAAATAGAAACTAGGCTCGCAGCGCCGTTTAACAACAATAAACATTATATATCAATTTATTTTAAGACTCTTACTTGCATTTTGGGTCAACTTTCTTGATTTATAATACATTGCTATTAATTGTATATAGACGTGAAATAAATATCTGACAAAATTATTTTAATCATAAATAGTTAAAAAAAATTAAGGAGGAATGAGTAAATAAGGCAATTTTGTCATCTAATATTCAGAATACAATATTAAGACAAAATAATTTATAAGATCTGTATCAATATATACCTAAATTAATGAAGAAAAGAAAATTTTACCCATCTTGTTTTTTAAATTAATGCTTATAATAATTTACCTCAGCATTTATGGTTTATTTTTAAACCGTAACCACGTGATGTGAAAACTTTAAAAAATAATTTAAAAAAAAATAAATACATATCAAATGCAACCTAACTATAAAGGTGCTAAATATTTCTCAATACGATGAGCTTTTGTTCAAATGCCTTGTTACGCCCATGTCGCAAAATATGAAATGTTATATGAAAGATAATTTTCCAATTATCTAAATAGTATACGTTATTGTTTAGAATACGGATATGTTGTAAAAGATATTTGCCAAAATTTATTCTTGCTCCTCTAGATATTTAGTGTTTGTGCAGTGTGATCTGGTGGAATGTTTCTGATTTTAATGTCTGCCAACTTTGTTGCGTGATTCTGCTTGAAATGTATTGCGGGGGGGGGGGGGCGTAATTCACAATTGATAAGTCTGATGATTTAATCTGATTATTGGTAGCTCAACAAATATGATTCTACAATATTGTGTTACTTTATTGTTCTTATTATTGTTGGTAAAGAGATATATTTGGGTTAAATCAAAATAACAATATGTAAGTCTAAATTTTTCTCAAAGGTGGCAGAAAAGCTTGGATCTCTATTTGCCTGAGGTTGGCTTAATATTATTATGACTAAAATACTAAACTGGCTGCTGTTTCACAAGTTTAACTGATTCATCTTTTTGACAATGAAAATCTTTGAACAAAACTTTGTTTTAAAATGATAAGGAAGGTAATTTGCAAGTTGAGGATGAGATTTGCTAGGCAGGGCAGGGCAGGGCAGGGCATATGAGATTAAGATAAGTATGGAAAAATTCAGACAATAAAATTGAAGTAGAGTTGACTACAATCCTGGTAATAGTGTTGTTTAACGGCCTGTTACGTTTTAAAAACGGTAGGATTCACAATTTAGCCAAAATAATAATATGTTAGCCCCAAAATTTAACAAATAGGGATTCAAACCTAATTGCAACCTATGAACAAAACTTCCAGCATTATATCATATTAATATGACTAAAATCTTAATCATGCTGTTCTTAAAATTGTCCCAAATCTGGAACTTAACAACACTACATGGGTGTGTAAATGTTATTTAAATTTTTACTTAAAATTATATATATTTAAATACATCTAAATCGGTAAAATTGGTATCTGGTAAGGATAGATCATTTGTATTTTTATCATAAATTAAAAGTTTAGTTGCAAGGATTTCTTTTATTGTTAACAATATATACATGCCATTTCCTGGGAAGAATAGAGATCAATGTTGAAAATTTAGTTCCCTATTTTCTTCGTGTAACTAAAAATATTATAAATCTATATTTCCTTCAAACATGGTTGTAGCGAAAAAGTTAAAGGTATGAATTGCAAATTTCTATTTTAAATATCATTTATAGCAGATTAATGGTATGGCCAAGGCTGAAAATCAAGAAAATTCTAAATTGAAAAGAAAAAAAGGTATATTTTTTTAATTTTTTTTATTATTCATGAATTTGAATATAGAAATTAAGGCAGAAGAAACCGAAGAAATTCTAAAACCCAAATCTAAAAAAGCAAAATGTATACTTAATATAATAAAATAATTATTTTATAATTATAATTCTTTATGTTATTCATATCTTAATTATATAAACATTAGATATTATTTTGTCATGTTAATTTTCATATTAAATTTTAGTATCCAAAGAAAAGGAGATAAAAAAATTAGAAGTTCCTAAAAAAGTTATACAAAAACAAGATTCCAGTTCAGAAGAATCAAGTGACAGTGAAGAAGAAACTATTCAACCACCTACCAAAACCCCTACAAAAAATAATATAAGTATATATTATTTTATTATGTATATTTACGTTATCTTAAAATAAACAGCTACTAAGGAAAAGGAAACAAAAAAAGTGGAAATTTCTAAAAAAGTTACCCAAAAAGAAGAATCTAGTTCAGAAGAATCAAGTGATAGTGAAGAAATTATTCAACCACCTACCAAAACTCCTACAAAAAATAATTTAGCTACTAAAGAAAAGGAAACAAAAAAAGTTGAAATTTCTAAAAAAGTTTCCCAAAAAGAAGAATCTAGTTCAGAAGAATCAAGTGATAGTGATGAAGTAACTACCAAACCACCTACCAAAACTCCTACAAAAAATAATTTAGGTAAATTCAAAAATAATAAGTATTTATGAATAAGATGCAAAATTTTACCACATGCACTTTATTTTTTCTGCTTTAAATTAAACAAATTTACTAGTCTAATTATGTGGTGTACTAATTTCCATTTTTTAAAAATAATTTTGCCAATATAATTATATTTATTAAGATACTGAATTGGTATTTTAAATTAAGATACAGGTATTGGAGATGAAAGTTTCTATGATATGAACTATTATTGTCAGTTGTCACTAGCTTCACTAAAACATTTTCACAATTCATTAGTGGTATATACTAATAATGATTGATGAGTAAGTTTAGAAAGTTCTAGCTTGGTGACAATTCACAACCATATATATAATAAATTAACTGGATAATTGCTTCTTTAAGTTAAGAATTTTATAAAAATGGAATTTCCTTGATGAATTGTATCTTAATGAAATGAAAGCAAAAAAGTCAAGTTAGTATTTAACTAATATAGTATTTTACTTTTGTTTAAGTTAATCATAAAATGATTTGCCTGAATCTAGTCTAAACATATTTTTGGTCTGAGTTTAGCATATTCTGCATATTTATTGAATTGGGATTGGTAAAATTTATAATTATGACTGATTTTCAAATCAAATAATAAATGACTAGTTCTAACATTTAAATATTAATGCTTTTCTGGTTTTAACCAAAAAATGCTTTTATATTAATCTCTAATTGGTTGTAATTTATTTTGCTTTGCTTTATAGGAAATGGGTCTACAAAAACTAAAAAACTTCCAGCTGAAATAAAACAAATTGCCTCTAAAGAAGAAGATTCTGATGATGATGATGATGATTCTGATGAAGATATGGAGGAGGATGAAAAAAATAATAAAAGTAAACAAATAATGCTAAGAAATAGTTTTGATTATTGACTAAACCTCTATCAAAAAATAAATATGGATTAAATTTTTATTTTAAAAATCAAGTATATTATTAATAATAAAAGTAAACAAATAATGCTAAGAAATAGTTTTGATTATTGACTAAACATCTATCAAAAAATAAATATGGATTAAATTTTTATTTTCAAGTATATTATTTTTTTCACATAAAAATGTTCCACAATATCATAGAGGGTGGCTCAAACTCACCCATGAAAATTTTTTTAAACATTCCATTTCCTATTTATTTATCAAAGCATAAATTTCCCTAAATCTCAGCTCTAAAAATAGTCTACTACTTTCCAGTCTGTCCTTTTCCATACATGAAATTTCCTGAAAATTGCTTATTAGGTTTGGATATTTTCCCTTTGATGTGTATTAAATCAAAAAATTATTTTCATTACAATTATTGGTTTTGACAGCTTATCTTGTAAAAAAATCAAAATGTGGAATCTTTTATTTTGTGTACTGCATTCTATTATTTACATTATAAATGAAACATTATTTGTGTATATATGATATTTTGACCTTAGGTTTCTTAAAATTTTATTTTTGTTTTTTTAAATTTTCATAATTGGATAAAAGCATTCAAAACTTTATAAAAATTCTTATAGGATAATCTAGGAATTATGTCTTGTTGATCCACATTTTTTTCCTGATATTCATGCACCATGATCCAATATTTTTGATTCATATTTAGAAATTATCTTTTAACAAATGTCATAAAAAAACCAATTATTTTTATGCAAAAAATATCTATAAACCATGGGCAAACCAAGAAAAACTTATTTTTCATATCTCATAACCAATTCCATTTTGTTGCATTATCATGAATAATTAATTGTAATTCATTAATCATATTATTTAAATGGAAAAATGTTTAGAGTGAAATGTGTCTTTATAAATATTTTTAAATCCTTCCATATTTTGTTTCTTTTATTCATTTTTTATTATGAAAATAAAGAAAAACCGATAATATATATTTGGTTCTCAAAAATATAAGCCAGATAAATAAGATTTTTAAACTATTTCAAAATAAAATTTAAATGGAAAAATACTGGTATAAATTTTAAATTACTATATTTTACATTTACAGGCAATATACCTTCCAAACCAATTAAACCATCAACAGAAATCAAACAAAACGCCCCTAAAGAAGATGATTCAGATGATGACTCAGATGAAGAGTCAGATGATGAAGAAGACGAGGAAGAAAGTAATGTTAAAGGTAAATAATTTTTTATGGATTCAGAAATTATTTTTAGGGCAACTGTCTTGAGTTTTTGATAGTCATTTATCGTGATATTTTTAAATTTTTTTAGAAATTTTTTATTTTGTGACTAAACTCATTTTTTTATTGACTATCAAGTCTCCACTAAGCCTAAGCCAACTGAAAAATCTCAACAAATTGTGAAAGCAGTGGCTAAAGAAGAGAGCGATCCATCTGATGATGAGGAGGAGGAAGATGATGACGAAGAAGAGGATGATGAGGAAGACGATGATGAGGAAGAATCACAAGTCAAAGCAAAACCTAAAACTACAGGTTTCACATATAATTCTTAAATATATCATAGCCTAAATACTCATGTAATTTTTGGGCAAATTATAAAAAGGCTTATATTTCATATAAGATGGATACAGCCTGAACATTTTTCCCCATACAATTAATTGGCCATAGTGTTGCTAAATGGCCTAATTGATTATAGTAGCTGAAATATTATCTAAGCCTCTGGATTTGATAAAAGGACATACAAACCTCTCTGCCATCTATGAGAAAAATCTTAAGGCTTACATAATATTATTTTGGTTAATATATTAAATGAGGCATTTTTAAAAATGCTAATTGGGCAAAAATATTTTTTATTAAATGAATAATTTTCATTACTTAATATTGAAATTTATAATTTTCAAAATATGATAGGTGCTGGTGATACAAACGCTGTTGCCCAAATAAGTATGAATAATTATTATATTCATTCTTGATTATAGAAATATACTAGTTTATATTTTTTTGCCCATAAATTAAGTTATTATGAATTTTACTACCTTTAAAAAATTAGAATCATTTTTTTAAAAGTAAATTTTTCAAAAAATAGAACACAATGTGGTACATGTTATTAAAAATGTTTCACAAAAAAATCTCAGCTAAGAAGCAGTTTAATTCCTTTTTTTTTCTTTTTAGAAATAAAATTTTGATAGTTGTCTGAATAGAATGCGATTTTTAGACTAAAAAAATGATAAATTGCCTAATCTAGTACCATCATCACCTTATGGTAATGTTATAATAAAGACGAACAAAAAAAGAGTGTCCTAGCTGCTATAGCAAAATTATGACAGGCGGAAACGTAACCTAGATGTTGAATGAATTAACCTTAGTTTTATCAATTATTACCTTACATGATTTTTTTTTTCTAATACCATTCAGAAAGCATGAACATCAAATTTAAAGGAACCACTTTACCAACCTCCAAAACCCAGTTATTAAAAAAATTGAAAGAATGCGGCATGGATCTTGAGAATGTTATAGTCGAGAACGATAATCTGTAATAATTTTATTTATAAATTTTAGTGAAAGGCGTTTAAATCTTTGCATTTCTAATTAGACTATTTTTTTAGATTTAAGTCAAACAATTAATATTTATAAATCTTAGGATTGCATCAATCACGAATTTAATTCTAAGCTTAGGATTAAAAATTCTTATTACTATAGTTGCTTGTTTACATGTGCGAGCTGAAAATAATTTGCTAAGCATTGAGTTATGAGTTAATTTATTTATGCCTTTAAAAATTAACCTATATTTTCAAAAAACATATTTCTTGGAGTGATACTTATCACAGGAGAAATTAGTTTAGCCACCTATAAAAGAGATTAAAAATAAACCAATCATTAAACTTCATTTATTAGAGTATAAATATTTATTTATTTAATGAAATTTATATTAAAAAAAATATTTCCTATAGGATCGGGTTTTTAAATTTCGCCAATTTGACCGCTTTTGCCCCGCCTAAGCAAGCACAAAGTTTTAATCAAAGTAAAAATAGCTGTATAAAATATTGAATTTATTCTTGAAGATTGTTTTAGATTTCCATAAAATTTTATGATTATTTAAAACAAGCTTGATGATAAATTTGTATTTTTACTAGATTCAGGAGGTACAACCTGTTACAATTGCAATCAAGTAGGTCATATGTCTTTTGAATGCCCTCAAAAGAAGAGTGGAGGTGGATCACGACCCGGTATATTTACAATATCGATAATATAAATATAAGCGAAAAAGAAGCATGAAAGAAATTAAATAAATTTAGATAACACATAAAATAAGAGTTAGATAGGGGAAAAAATTGAATAAAAATAAATATCTTTAAAAAGATAGATATTGTTATTAGAGATCTGCAAAGTTAGGCCTGGCTCAAACGGGCTTTGGGCCAGACTCTAGTCTAATTCTATTTAAAATAATCGGGTTTAGGCCAAGCCAGGCCTGATATTTTTTAAAAAATTTGGGCTGGGCCGGGTCGCACCTTGGAATTTTTTTTTAAATATATCTAAATTTATCAATTTTATATTGAATTTTTTATGTAAAATAAAAATACTTGATTTTATTTATTGAAACTAAACGACATATAACATATCTCTTTAATTTAGAGTAATTAAATTAATTTTTATATTTAAATAAATTCAGGCTGAGCTGATCTGGTAAATTTTTTAAAAAAAATTTGGGTTTGGGCTAGGCCGGCAAAACTTTTTTAAAAAAATTTTGGACCAGGCCGGGCTTAAAAAATTAGGCCCGATGTAGATCACTAATTGTTATACAATCACGATTATATTGACTCAAATAATTATTTCAAAATTATGTTAGGCGTCACTTGTTACAATTGCAATAAAGAAGGACACATGTCCAAAGACTGCCCAGATAAATCTTCAAGAGGTAATCTTTTGATATTCTCAAAAAATTAATTACAAAACTCATTTTTGTAGTTATTTTTTGATATGTGTCTAAATTATCTTGATACTTTATAAACAAAAACCCGTAGATTTTTATTATTATTTTTTTGTTTTATTTTCAATAATGACAAATTTACAGGTGGTGGTGGAGGAGGAGGAGGTTGTTTCAAATGTGGCGAAGAAGGCCATTTCTCAAGGGAATGCCCTAATGGAGGAGGGGGTGGCGGTGCTAGAAGAGGTAACCTTATAGAGTTTAATGATTAGGTTAAGATGTATCTAAATTGGGAAAAATTTTTTTTTGATATGAGTAATTTTTGTGCAGAAAAAGAATAAATTATTAAAGACGCTTGAATATTTTAGAAATTTTATTCTTACATTTATAGACGGGCCAAAACCTCCGACCCTTTTCGTTAAAAATCTTCCCGAAAGTGTGAGCGTTGATAAATTGGATTCTATTTTCACTGAAGCGAAGGAATGCAGGATTCCACAAGTGTTTAAGGGGTAAATAAATCATTTTTGTGTCTCTTTTTTTTGCGAATACACAGTAATTGATAGGGTTGTTCTCATTTAGTAATATTTGTCATTTATAGTAAGGTGAGATTAATCGACGCATTTAACTTATAATAAAAAAACTGGAGTCAAATTTGAATACTAATCACTTAACTTTTATAGTGATAATTCATATACCTTTTCACTTTCCATTTGAAATTATTTACAAGTATAGGCATCATATTTCTATTTGACCTAAATCTCAAAAAAATGATGCTGGTTTGTACCAAAAAAAATTTCTAAAATACGTAGGTCACGTTATTAACAATGCCTATTAAAATTGCCCTTAGTTTCTCGTAATTGAATCTTAAGGAGCCAGTATTTAAACTGAATCATAATTCCCTAGAGGATCTTTTATTAATGAATAAAAACTGCCATATAAATCCAACCTTAGCAATACTTGCTCCAAGTGTATCATGTCTTTAGATGAAGCTGGTGATATTCATATTACTTTCATTTTATTCTGAGAAATATATTATCACATGGAGCTAGGATTCAGTGTACTTGTATTACATTCTTACACATGTATCTGCATATGGATAGGGATTTTATTGTTTTCATAAGATTGATTTTTAAATGCCTATCATTGTTATGATTTAACCATAAGTGAACAAAATATAATTATAAGTAATAATGTTAGATTATAAAACATTAAGATTTTTTTATAATTAAAATCTGGACACTTTTTTTAAAAATTATTTAAAATCTGATGGGTATAAAAATCTTCATATTATTTTTCATAGCATATTTTACAATAGTTGAAAGCTCATTATCTTAAATGTTAAATTTTACCTTGTCTCATTCTTTGCGTAAAATAAAATGATAAACTCCAACATATTATTTGATGAATTTAATTGAAATAAATATTTTTATTATAAAAAATGTAAAATAAAATTATAATAAAATGCATCTAAAGATAGATACAACAACATTTTTGTATATAGATACTACATATTTATGATAATATTGACTTTAATTTTAAATGTCCTTTTATTAGATTCGCTTTCATAGAATTCGATTCAGAAGAAAAATTGGAAAAAGCTTTGAGGGAAAATTCCGGTGCGACAGTTGATGGATCAGAGATTCATATTAGCAAATCGAATCCCCCAAGTTTATTTAACATTGATTAATTATATCTCTCAAACAGTGTTGTTACGGTTTGTTTTGAGCCGATTTTTAAAAACGGCTAACTCAATATTTAATCTAGAAAAATATTACGGAAGCCTGAAGATTTTGTTTGTAGAAGGAACAAAGTTTAGACATCTATTAGCAAAATCTCGAGGTGTAGGCAATATTTTTCTAGCTAAAATATTGAGTTAGCCGTTTTTAAAAATCAGCTCAAAACGAGCCTTTTAACAACACTACATCTATTTTCTTGTTAATGCATTTATTTTTTGATTATTCAATTTTTCTTTATTTTAGTGTATATTTATGAATTTTGATAAATTAAATAACAACAAATAAATTTTATCTTTATTTGCATTAGGTGGAGGAAACAGCAGAGGTGGAGGTTTCACTCCTCGTGGAGGTCGAGGTGGAAGTCGTGGCGGGCCTAGAGGTGGCAGTGGTAGGGGTGGTTTTAACAAAGGTAAAATATTTTATCTTTTTACCAACATGAATTTTCATTTTATTGTTAAAGTAATTATATAGTCGAACAGTTAATATTTATTAATTATGAATCCCTTGCTTTTGCTATTTAAATTTTTATCACAATTGCTTAAATATATTAGAGCGATTATAGTAGGATTGTAGCGATTAAATCCTTGACTATTTTAACATAAGGAGCCGATTTTTAAAAACGGCCAAGTCAAATTTTAACCATAAAAACATCTCAAGCCTGTAAATTTTGCTATTAGATGTCCAAACCTTTGTGCCATCTATGAGAAAAATCTTTAGGCTTTCATAATATTTTTCTAGATCATAGCCGTTTTTAAAATCGGCTTAAATTTTGCGATTTTGTATCACTAATTAAAACAACAATATTAATAAACATCTCTATAATTTATGGTGTCTTGATATTATTTTACATGATTAGTAAATACTTTCAATCACTAATGCATCATCATAAAATATATAGTATCTTTGATATATTTTTGTGGATTACTTCTTATCTCTGTTGTATAGTTTTGTTCATAATAAGCATTTATTGGGTTTTTATACAAGTTATTAGGGCCTGTGGATATATTAATGCATCTGATTAAATTTTATAAACAACTTTTAAAATTGTCAAAGTAAATTTTAAAATTCTTCAAGAGTATTTAAAGTTCAAATAATAATTATATTTGAATTTATAAAAAAAATTTATAAAAGGTATGAACGCGAAAATTGATCTATCTCCTTTCCCCGGATCTAACAAAAAAGTCGTTTTTGATGATGATGATTAGATGAATCAAGAAAACTTTTTTAATCAAATATTTTTAGATGTTTTTTTGTACATATTGTTTATGTATCATAATTTGTCACAAAATAAATATATTATTTAGAACTATCGGATATTTTTTAAATAGTATCCCAATTATTTAAATTATAAAAACATATTACCGACCAATCAATAAAACGTTATCCTTTTTTTAAAAAAGATTTATTTTGTTATTAAATATTTCGAATTTTTTTAATATTCAAAATTTAAATTATTATTTGACAATTGTTAAGTTTTCAGGATTCTGGACAGACCTGGGAAAATTTTCCACAGGTAAAAATTTGTTCAATCAATCAGAAATACCAATAAATTATCTAAAAACTAAATGATTTATATAAATTTATTTGGTATAATAGCTATTTTTTATTACATCTAAAATTTAATAATATGTAACTTATAAGAGAAGACAATTTTATCAAGTTTGAGCAATACCTAATATTTTTTTTAGAAATTAATCACATAAATTTAAAATAGAATTTAACAAATGCAAAAATTTACAATATTATTTAGTCCTAAATTTAACCTGTATCATAATAGAAGGTGCAATGGTTATTTAAAAATGATTTTATCCATTTATTTGATTTTATTGCATTACGTAAACTTACTAAATTTACATTAACAAATAAGTCTCATCCATTAATTTTGAACCAACTTCTGGATCATTCTTATATGAATAAGCAAAATAAACAACAGATTTTAAAGTTTACCATATATTTTATCCATAATATTCCTCAGACTTTATATTGGTATCACTAATACAAAGTTACAAATACTTTCATGCGCCATTATTGGCCCAGATCAGCAGTATAATTTTTGAATGAGTAAAATAATTATACTGCAATAATTTTTAAAATATTGCCAAGCCCAGAAAATCGTTTTACATTATTATGTTTGATTTTATCTGTATAACATCTGATTAATCTCATCAAAAATTTATTTTATTGTAAACCTAGCTTTTTGTTTGTAATACTAAAATTATTAGAAGAAAATTGGAATATTTTATAAGTTAACTGTTTTGGACAAGAGAAGCTTGGAATAAGTTGAGTTTAGTAATGAAATTATAATTATTTGTAGTGTTGTTAAACGGCTAAGCCGCCACTCGAGTCGAGTTTTTAGTCGTAATAAACGGCTCAGCATTGAGCGGCTCAATCAGCCGTTTGAGCTGACTCCCGAGCCGAATCCTGAGCCGATTTTATATTTAAAAATATTTTATATATAAAAGAAAGATATCAAATTTATAAAGAATTATACAAAGTTGTTAAAATATACTTTTTTTTATTATTTGGTGTTACTGAATTATATATTTTAACCGACCCATAACAGCTTTACCCCAAGGTGACATGTTATTGCGTGGCTTCTAGTATAGCTATAGATGTCGGATAAATTTTATTCATTAAGGAACATGTGTGCCAAATTTTGAATCCTGAGGATATGTATATTTTAGTAAAAGCCAAATATACTAGAGAATGATTTTTATATTTTTTGGGTAAAAAACATTTTGACAAAATAGATAAAACCAGGTAAGTTTTTTAAAAGATGAACATAGGTAAGAAATTATTAAATATAAAAATTCATCTTCACACCAAATTTAAAATCTTTGTGCTCAAGGGTTTAAAAGTTATTCGTGTTAACATTGTTACCCCGTCAATCGCTTTACCCCGGTCTCCCCTACATAGAGAAAATTTTTTAAGAGATATATAACATGATATATCAAACTTTAAGATTAATTTATTAAATTCCTAGAATAAAATATAATAAAAAAATATATAAAATTATTAAAAGTATGTATTATAGTATTATAATTTTGTTCTAAAAATACCCCTCCCCCTCCTTCCTTGATTTAATATTTTAAAAAAAAAAAATTTTTTTCTGAAAAAAATAACAATTATTTCTATTCTTTTGAATCCTTTTGCCGGCTGGCTGGCATGTTAAAATTTAAGTTTTATTTTTTTCATATTAATAACTTACGTTTTTTACTTATTTTTTGTTTTTTTTAAACTTCCAATACAAAACTATTCCCTACCCTCCCTTTCCTTTTGTTTCCCCAAAAAATTAGATTCATATTAAATAATAAAAATATTTATATTTTTTGTTAAATAATTTTCATATCTATACAATTTATATTTTCTTAAATATTTTCTTATATACAATTTCAATAAAAATATTAATCTTTTAAAATATTTTCTTATATACAAAATTTTCAATAAAAATATTAATTTTTTTATTTTACGGATGATTCTATTATTTCCATCGGAGAGGTAGACTAATAATTTTAACCTTTCAATACTCCGGTGTTTATTATAATAAATAAGGAGGAAGGTACATATGGGTAATATCATTCATCACGAGTAGTAATTTGAGGAACAATGCTATGCCGACTCCTTTTAAAATGATTAGTTATTAATTATTTAAAAAAAAGCCAAAATCAAATCAGTATATTTAATTTTATAACTTAATAAGCACAGTGGGTTAAAAAAAAACTAAGTGGAAATTTTAAAATTAATTTTTCCAGCTTCGTTTACTATTATGTAGCTTCTTTGAGTAATTTTATCTCAAATTGCGTAATTTCCTCATAAAAATATTTTTTTGTTAAAAATTTTCATATTTATAATTTTTTTAAATATTTTCTTATATACAAAATTTTCAATAAAAATATTAATTTTTTTATTTTATGGATGATTCTATTATTTCCATTGGAGAGGTAGACTTTAATAATTTTAACCTTTCAATACTCTGGTGTTTATTATAATTTTCATAAATTTATTTTGTAAAAATTTTAATTTATGGATAATTCTATTATTCTGATAATCATTTATAAAATATCCTCCTAATTATATTTTATTTAGGAAATACTTAATAATTCAGTATTCGGTTCTGACATTGATAATTTATCTAGATCCATTCGATTGGAGAATTATAATTTAAAAAATAGTTTCCAGACTACACCAAAAAAACAAGACGTAAATGTAATTTGTGATAAACATTATCAGGCTAGTACAGCTACAATTGTCCTTGATGTTAAGTTGTTGGAATGACTCAAATTCTCATTCTTCAGCTGTTTCCTATTTCATCAATTACATTAATTAACTAGATATTTATATTCTCTCGTATGCATATTAGTTCGTGTCCTGTTTTAATTAATATAAATTGTACTTAGGATTGCTATAATAAAATTTAAGATACATTCTACTCTTAATTTATAAACCCATCATTAATAAGGGTCAAATTTTTATTAAGTAAATATCTTGATATTTTATTTCTTCCAAAAAACACACTGCATTATGGAAAATTAATAATTAAATTTTAACATTCTGCTTTGCTAAATTATTATTATATTTTATTAAAACTTGGAAGAGGAAGTTGGACTACCCTATATCTCTTTAACCTTTTAATCCTTCTCCTTATTTAAGTGATTATTAAAAATTTTAATATATTTCAGCTAATTAAAATTTTTACTTCTAATGAACATTACTAGAGTCAAGCTATTATAATATCAAAAATGAACCTAACACGAATATAAATTATGATATATGAACCAATAAAAAAAAATTATTTGATCATAAAATAAAAAGTGAGAAAACTAGGGGAAATTTACATCTATACTTATATCATGCTTTGTGTAATCACATAGTAAATTATTAAAAATTTTCAGACACATGGGCTATTAATATATATTTTAATAGTAGTAGACATCTTTCTTTTAAGTGGCTAAAATAATCAAGAAATTAGTTAAATAAATTTAACTAATTCCTGTGTTCTTGGAAACTTTGGTCACAAGGCACTTTCCTTCCTGAAGGAGATAGGAGAAAAAATTACCCAACTCAGTAGCGATCCTAAAGAATAATCATCAAAACAATGTTTAGAAATTTACCATTCAAGCTTTGTATTGGTTCAGGGATTTATATAGCCTATTATCCCGAATGAATTATATTTTTTTGATATGGATCACAAATAATCCAACCAGAAACTGTTAAAACATAACCAGATTTGAACTTTATGATGTTCGTCCTATCTCCTTTAAATATAAAAAATTCTAAATAATTTATTTATGTAACATATTTTTTAAACGTTTTTAAATTCAATTCAAATCGAATTATTATGAATCTGAAACAGCAGGATCTTTGTGTTTAAAATATCAATTAATAGAAAAAATCAAATCATCACTTTTTTAAAGTCTCTACAGTCAAATTTATCAAATTGATCTTTTAACAACTTTGCATAATACAACTGCGAAATTCTTCTAATTTATAGTGTGAACAATGAAAGCAGTTTTGATAGCAAGGGAAGGCATTCTCCAATGTTGAGGCCGTTTCCCAGGGGATACCATAACACCTTTATTTTCAAGCACTCAAATCAACCAACCTGTACATTTTAAATCGTTAGGAAACTTCCAGAAGAAATGCCCTCAATTCCTTGATTAAGGTGCCAGCTTCTGGTTTGGTACTTAGTCTGCATTTATCTTTATGCCTCATACAACCATAGCGTGAATATAAGATATAAAAAATATATAGGTATATCTTATTCCCTATAAGAATTATAAAAAAAAATAATATTCATACATCATATTATCATATTTTTTTATATACAAATTTTTACATACTATTATATTTATAATATTTATATATATATATATATATACTACATAAAAATATTTATTTGTCATTAACATATTTAAAAAAAAATCCTATATTTTTGATATATGAATATATTCATTTGAAATGAGAAATAACATGATTGTTTATCGGTCATTTTAGCTATTATATTTATAATATTTATATATACTACATAAAAATATTTATTTTTCATTAACATGTTTAAAAAAAAAATTCCTATATTTTTGATATATGAATATATTCATTTGAAATGAGAAATAACATGATTGTTTATCGGTCATTTTAGCTTTTTTTGTGATAAAAACATCCGGAGAACATCGAAACCATTTAATCATCGTCAAAAAAAACTTTTTTCTTTGATCCAGCGTTACCTTATTTTTTTTTAAAAAAATATATAAATTTTATGGTTCTGGCTCGAAAACGCGAAATTCTTTTTTAATCGAAATTAGTACTAGAAGCATTTCCAACCTCATATGAAACATTGTGTCTGAAACCTGTGAACTAAAATGGTTTCGATTACGGTTCTAAGTAGTACATGACATCATTTTGGTTACGCATAGAATATATAAAAAATTTTTAATGTAAGCAAAGTAAAATAATATTTAAACTCACAATTATTCCAAGGCTATTCTCACAAGGAAATATAGCAGACAAAATTCAACTAATTTAAAGCATTCTGGATCCTATGAGGTTATCATCTGGTCTCCAGATGATGCTTTCAATGATTTAAATTACATTATTATGAATGAATTGTCAGTCTATATATTATTGTATGTCATTGTACGTTACTAGGTAACACACATCAATGGGCGAAAAAATTAAAAAAATTTTTTTACCTTTATTGAACCCACCTCCCCTACTCCCTCCTCTTGATCCATTGCGGCCTCCACCACGAGCGGAAAAATCTCGACCACCAAATCTATTTCCGCCACCTAAAGCAAATATGATAAACGTATTCATTCATACATAAAAATAAATAAACAATTTTCCGAAATAAATTATGTGACCTAAATAATAAAAGTGTGAAAAATATGAACCAACCTCGTTTCCCTCCTGAACCACCACCACTAGGGCATTCTCTTGAAAGGTGACCTTCCTCGCCACACTTGAAGCAATTACGGCTTCCTGTAAATTTATTATTATATATTTTTTAAAAAATTAAAAATAAATGTTTGAAAAATATGAAACAAACCTCCCGATGATTTACTGGGGCAGTCCTTAGAGATGTGACCTTCTTTATTGCAATTGTAGCAAGTCATTCCTAAGAATAATTATTTATATTAATTTGATAAGCTGGTTAAATTATGAAATCCTAAAAGTTGTTAAACTATAATTAAAGCGCCATTTATTTACTTATACGAAGAACTAATGCGGTTACTTATAGGTGCTTATACAAAGGAAATATTATACTCAAACAAATTAGTTTTGCTCAAAAACTTATAAAAACTAAAAATATATTTAAATATTAAAATTGGACAAATATGCGGTTTTTTAAAAATATTATTTTATTTTTTAGTGTTGTTAAACGGCTCGTTTTGTACCTATTTTTTAAAACGGCTAACTCAATATTTTAGCCAGAAAAATATTGTTTAAGCCTCTAGATTATGTCTAGACCTATTATCCTTCTATGATCAAAATCTTCAGGCTTGCGTAATATTTTACTGGATGAAATATTGAATTAGCCGTAGGCTACTTTATAAAACAAGGATAAGATATTCCAGTACCAACAATATGATGAAACGAGATTATTTTAGCTGCGGTTAAAATCATTTTTTTCTCTCGTGTATGTAAAAATTGAAAGAATTATTTTTATTGATTTTGTAAATAAATCGGTAACAATTATGAAAGATATTACCTTATTTTCGGGTTTTCATAAAATTAAAATTATTTAACGAGCCAGGCTAAAAAAATAAAGGCTGATAAACCGCATCAAAATTTCCATGGGTAGGTCTAGCGACCTCAACGGATCTTTAGTATAAAAATGAGATGTTTCATTTCCTCGAATACAAATTTCAAAAGTTAAATACAAGGAAAAAAGCGCCTTTTTTTAAATTTCATTATATCATTCTCAAACGCTAATATTACCAGATCGGGCTCCGCCACCTCCGCCTTGCTTCTTCTTTTGGGGGCATTCGAAAGACATGTGACCCACTTCGTTGCAATTGTAACACGTCGAGCCACCAGAACCTGAACATAGAATACACGATTAATAAAATGCACTCTAAGTAGTTTAATTTTAGAAACGGCTAACTCAAGATTTTAGCCAGAAGAATATTGCCAAAGCCTTGAGATCGCTAATAGATGTCCGAACTTTGGTATCATCTATGAGCAAAATCTTCAGCCTTACGTTATTTTATTTTTGGATCAAATATCAAGGCTAGCCGTTTTAATAAATCGGCTCAAATCGAGCCGTTTAACAAAAATTAATTCTAAGCCCACAAATAATTACAAAATTTTCAATGAACGGAAAGCCAGGTATTCTTATTTATCAATATATAAATTCTTACTACGCATTTATTTTTTTTTAATTAAAAAAAAATTACTTTTATTAAAACTTTGGGCACGCTTGACTGGGGCGTGTGTAGTAGAAGTCGCGAAATTTAAAAATCCGAATCTGTTGAACAAAGAAATAAAAATATATTTATAAAAAAAAACAAATTTAATAATGTATAAGTCTTGAAAAAAATTAATTAATTGCAAACTCCATAAAAAAAACTCATGAAAAATATGCTGGGTGAGTGCTTTAAGATTTAGAAAGAGGTAGTGTTGTTAAACCTGCTTGATTTTAAAAAAACGGCTATCCCAACATTTTAGCCAAAAATATTAGGCGAGCCTGGAGATTTGGTCCATAGCTGGAAGAAAGGTTTGAATATCCATCAAAAAAAAATCTTGAGGCTAGTATAATATTATTTTGGCTAAAAATCTTGATTTTAAAATTATTGCGAATCGAACTGTTTAACAACAATACATATTAGAGACCCTCATGAAATTACTTGTTTGGATGTGCCTTAGAACCTTGATCCTATTTCGATGTGCGAGCTTGATGAAAAAATTAAGTTAGTCACCGATTTTTAACATACATATATAACTTAATTTATAAGATATTTTTCGAAACTTGTAAAATATTAAGCTTACAGCTAAAAAAAAGAATGTATACCCAATATCATTTCATAGTGCTTCTTCAACAGCTGACACTTTTTTTATGGTTCAGTTTTATGAGGTCTTCGAAAGCGCTGACAATTTATTGCCCTATCGTTTAACATTGCAGTTTTTTTACGACCGTTATAAATGCCGCGCAAAAAAGCATTTCTTATAGATGGCGCGATATTTAAATTCAAACTAGCCACCCTTATAAAAATCTTTTATCAAAAATTGCTTAACAATAATAATTTATTATTATAATTTACAGGGTATCGTTTTGGACAGTAGCACCCTCCAGGTCTATACCTTCTTTCAGTTTTTTTAGTAATTGAGCTTTGGAGGTTGGTAAAGTGGTTCCTCTAAACTTGATCTTCACGGATTCTGGCGAGAAATAATAATTATGTATAAAATATTCGCCCGAAGCTGCATCCAATAATTTTGTATAGTATCATGGGGTTCGTGTTTATGTTAAATTTTGATATTTTTAGTGGGGATATAGAGTTGGCATGAAAAATGACCTATTTTTAGGTTTATCGATTGTCATCAGAGACCTGCAGAGGTACCATTTGCAGGGCCCGGCCAGGATTTTTTTTTTAAAATTTTTTTTGGGCCTAGTCTGAGTTTTATATTTTCAGGTCCTGCCCCACCCGGCTTTAAAAAATATATATTATATATATTTTTGATTTTTATAGCAGATAATTGTGATTTATAATATACGACCCAGGCCTGATATATTAAAATAAAAATTAAAACACGACCCGGCTCTTGTAGGCCTGCACGTCCCTGATTGTATCTCGATTAAGGATTTACTTAAAAAAAGGTATAGAATATTGTATCTAATATCAAAATAAAGTGAATAATTCTTGATTTAAATATGGTGGTCCAATAAGTTTTCCCTATTTTTTTTAAAATTATAAACCTGCAGATCAATCTATACCAAGTATTGAGCGCAAAGTTTTTTCAGTTTTAACGGGAAAAATAAATGTTTTATTTTGATTCAATAGAAAGCACAATGTATAGTTAATTACTCTATATTATTTAAAATGTGTAGGGATTATGGATGGGGGGTTCGATTATATTACAAGAATTTTATTTGGTTAAAACGATAAGTAGAACGAATAAATAATATCTCTTGTAATAATTTATCGTTTGTTTTGTATAACATGAATATCAATTATCTATATATAGAGAGCCGGAAACCATTATTAAATATTTCATATTATATAAATAAAATCAATTTAAATATAAACAAAACGAATAATAACAAATATTACTACAAAATGCAACTTATAAGATAATCTTTAAGTGACAAAGAATCTTCAACCCCCCATATTTATACAAAAATTTCAAATATTACAAAATACTCTAATAAATTCTCAGATTTGGATAGTTTGAAATTTTTTTTGGGGAAATATGGTGTATATTTGTTTTCCTCTTCTTATATATTTTAAAATATATGCAATTGATTTCACATTATGATAAAGAAATTTTTTTTTATCGATTTTTACAATGAATTCGAAAACCAGGCATTCCTAACAGATATATATTGGTCTTAAGTTACAAAGATTTTAACTTTAGGATGGTATTTAAATGGACAGCAGCCATATTAAAAAAAACGGATATTTTAAAAAAATAGACTTTATATTTAATATTCGAGTGTTGTTAAACGGCCCGATTAAGGTCGATTTTTAAAAAAGGCCCGAATAAGATTTTACCCAAAATAATATTATCCAAGCCTCTTAATTTGATAAATAGAGGTGTAAATCAGGCTTACATAATATTATTTTTCGAAAATTATTTATAATTCAAGTTTCTAATAAATCTTTAATTGATTAATAAACGATAAGTAATATCTCCAAAAATATAAGAGTTAATAGTGGGCACAAATTGAGCGTTTACGTTTTGCCGTAATTCTTAAATAAATAAAAAAACGTAACGCGTCCCTTGTTTAAATTGAGGTTGTCCTTTTATTAATATCGGTCGATTCAAAATTTTAAATAAGTTCTAAAAAAAGGGATTTGTCTTTGAAAATTACATTATCGTCTGCGTTATTATTTCTTTAATTTCTAAATATTCCTTTTCAGGATATAAGTAAGTTATTTATATTGCATTTTTATATATTACAACGCGAAGAATAAAAAAGGAAATGAAAAAGCAAAACCTATTTGCGTTTTTTTTAGGTTGCTAAAGCCAAACGGTAATTTATTTGAAATGCATTATTTGCGCTTGCAACGCACCGTTCGAAACGCTCAATTTGTGCGCAATATTAGGACGCTAAAATAAACGTTTCAGGACTAGTGTTGTTAAACGTCCCGATTAAGATTTTAGCCAAAATAATAAAGTTTAGGGATGTGGGAAATATTGGTCCAAACATTTTTGTCATCTACGCCAAAAATCTCCAGGCTTACACAATATTATTTTTGGCGAAAATCTTAATCGGGCCGTTTAGCAAGACTAGTTACGACTTTAGTTTGTAACCTAAATAACAAGGGGTTCCAATATCACGTGATTTACACAAAAAAAATATATAATTTGAACATCTATTGGCGAAATTTCGAGGATTACCTAATAATATTTTGGCAAAATCTTTAGCTAGCTATTTTTGAAAATTGGCTAAATCAATGCCGTTTAAAAACACTAAATGTAACTATAAGTAAGTACGTTTTGTTTATTCTTATCTAAGCATATATTTGGGGAAAAACTGGCACGTTTACTTTGACTACAATTTTGACAATAGTTTTTTTGAGTCAGAGAAAAATTCTTGAGTATTATTTATATTTTGTGATATATTTCCTCTTTCGATGAAATTATTATCTTTATTTTTTTTATCTCTTTTTGATTAAATAAAAATTTGAATGGCGAGGTAATTAATCACCTTTTTCAAGGCAACTTTTAAAAACACTAAATTTCAAAATTATTTTATATGATTGTAACTATATAAAAAAAGCAATTATTATTATTGTTTACTTATTTGAGAAACGGTATTTGCATCCCCACCACTACCTAAAAATTTCGCAAATTATATAAGAATAATTCAGTTTGTTATATATGTGTGTAATTATCCTTAAAAAAATCCTTAGCCTTTGTTTTAATAATAGGAGAAAAGTTTAAGCTGTGTCCCTAATACCTTTTTTAATATGCATTTTACAGGCATGTAAGAGAAAATCAGGCGACATAAACAAGAAGCTTCCTTGTATGTCCTAATAAATTTCTATATATTATTTGTATACTTATTCATTATTGTAATGTTTGACATTGGGTAACTACCGAACACTGTAGGTAATAGAGATTAGATATCAGTAAATTACAGGCTAATAACTGCAGTGATACGAAAAGGCACGAATGGTGGTTCGAACAAATGATGGGGATAGTAGGTTTCGAGGTAAAGGGAGGTATATCAGAATCGAAGTATAAAATAGTAAGATGGAGGAGCTACAAAAGAGAAGGGATTTTGAATATAGAAAAAACGAAGGTGATGTTTGGAGGAAAGGGTTTAGAAAAGATCGAGGTGACAGGCACATAGTTATAATGATGGAAGAAAGGCGTTGGTAGAAACTCCCACAATTGTACTTACTATCATTAATGGGTTCATATTAGATGTAGTATGGAACCTCATAGAAGGCATGCAAGACGTTTGTTTGTAATAAGTATGTGGAAAAATGATAAGATGACTGGTTTCTATATTGAAAATGTAATGAGTTTGGGAAAAGTAGGGAAGTTCTGTTACCTAGGCAATAGATAGTGCAGATGTTGCGAGGATATGCTTGAAAGAAATTTAGAGAAATGTTTATCTCAACCAATAAAAAATTTCCTCTCGCCTAATTAAAAAAAAATAGAGATGAGAATGATCAGATGGATATACAGAATATCTCTGAGAGAAAGGATTGAGATATAAGCATATGATGATGCCTTGAGAATAAATACGAGGAGTGGTTTGGACATGTTAAATAGAAGGTAGAGGATGACTGATTGAATAGATACTCAGGGGGAGACCAAAGACATGGATGAAAGTTTTAGATTTATCCTAGGATGATGCTTTGGACAGTTAGACCGTGGAAAAGGGAGAAAGGCCATTAGAAAAAAAAATGGCCTACCCGGGTAAACCTGAAAAAGGGCCACTAAGACGAAGAAGTATGGAATAAAGAAGAATGACATTATAATTATTAATTTTTTTATTGTAAAGGGATGTTGCTGCTATGTTTATTAAATTAAAATAATTTAAGGATGATATTGTAGAAGAAGATGATAGATAGCAAAAGTGTGTTGAATGAACCATTAATTTAATGTTAGGTTTGTGAAAGGTTCATTTATGGAAACAAACGTATGTTATACTTTGGTAAATATTTTCGACTATCTGATTATAATTTGAATTTCTATTGAAAATATAAAATTTTCACGTATAATTGAAGTCCAGATTTATATAAATTACATTTTTCTTCAATTAAAATATACAAGAAATATAAACATTTTTCAGATACAATTTGTTACAAATAATTAAAAAAATCATCAGAGTTGGAAATACATTAAGATACAACATCTAAGATGGAATTGTCCGTTCTGTTTTGGACTTTATCTAATGGTGCAACAAAAATCAAATCATTGATTGTTCACTTTAAATGCCCTCATTTATTCATATTTACTATTTATCCATATTATATATTTGAATATAACAGACCTGATGCTTTAGATTTTAGTTTGATTTCGTCAGCATCGTCTTGGCCATCATCATCTTCTTCATCATCATCATCTTCGTCATCCTCATCATCTACTTCATCCTCCTCGTCATCCACTTCATCGTTAGTGGCTTAAGATAGTCAACATTCAGCAACAAATTAATTATGACAAAAAAATAGATTTATTTATCAACATGGTATAAAAGTATTTGCTGCATTTCTCAATGAGTTAGTTTTATTTCAGCCTATGATAAACGATTTGTTACACGTAATTTTATGTATATGTTAAGAGGAAATGTACGTAATAAGGTAATACCATTTAAAGTTGATCCAGACAATTTTGGCATATAAATTTAAAAAATAACTGAATAAATTGCCTGTAGGATATACATAAACTTTAAACTCAAATATATTTTTGGCAAATTAAGATCTTAAAAATTAAAGGCTCAAAAAAGTATTTTCTTATTTCCGCATTTTATTGGAAATGTATTCTAACATTTGTATAAAATATAAACCTTATCAATTTCTGTAAATTTTATAAAATATTTCACTTATTACCTGTCAGCGACTAATCTAGTATAGCCTACATTCGAAAAATCTTTAAGATGGTCTCTAAATTCAAAAAAAATCTACTAATCAATATGCACCTTCTTCCTGTTCTTCATCGTCAAATGCAACCTCTTCATCAATATCATCATCCTCATCCTCGTCATCGGAATCATCATCTTCCTCTATGGAATCATCTTTAACAAGTTTTGCAGTGGTTTGTTTAGAATTATGCTTTTGTTTTACGACTAGAGTGGTTAATTTTTTTAGGTAAAATTAAATGTATTTTCTAATTTACAAAAAAACCTAACTATAAATTTAACAATTAATTTTAAAAATACACAAATTTGGAATAAAAATAATTATTAAAACAAATTAAAAAAATAAGAATTAAGTAATGGAGAACGAATATAAAAAAAATTAAGAAGGGAATGTTAAAATGGCAGATGATAAATTCCATGTAAGAATATCAATTTTGACACTTTGAAGGTTGGGGTAAAATATTTACACAAAATCGTTAAGATTTTCTACCCATTTAGAGTAGAAACATTCAGCTTTTCATGATAGGGTTTCACAAACTGTTCCAAATAAAATATTCAGATCTCAGAAGATAGAAATATGAATCTTTTTTATACGAAAATCTTTTTTACGAATACTCAAACAGGATTACATATCAAATTTTACCAAAAGTTCTAAATTTTGTTGATTTGTGATGCATAACAAACTTTTCATGATGAAGTTTTTATTTCTTTTTTTTAAAAAAATTCAATTTTGTAGATCTTAAAATTGCTCAAGTTTAGTTTAAAAAAAATATTCATAAGGTTGGGATGTTCTGGGAAATCGGGAACTTAGCTAAGATGATAAATTTTGTAAAAAATAACAAAAACTTTTAAATGAGCCAGAGGATAGAGACCTAGAATATTGATTAACAAACTGCAGTTGTTATATTTAGGAGATAAAACCATGACACAGTTTACAAGTAAACTGGTGGCATCTTTGATTTTTTGTCAGAGAACAAAAGACCTAGCAAATTGATGGAAGGAGCGATATTATTTTAGTAATTAATAAAAGCACCTTAGTAGTTGAATTAGCTGCACCTAAGTATATAGTCAAATGTTCAATTTTTTTTGTGATAAGGTTTATCAGAATAACTTCTAGCAAAGAAAAGATGGTATTGGCATATATTAAGAGGAATTTAGCTACAATCAAGTTAGATCCATGGACTGATCATAACAGAGAAAAAAACGATATTACATTTACATTTGTTTATTAATAAAGGATAAACTTGGAATATCCTTTACTTTAGCAAGTCACTATGCAACCCAAAAACATAGGTGAAATTATTGCTATTGAAACTGATAAAACTGAAGAGGAATATAGGTTAAAGAAGAAAAAAATTAAAATAGTCAGATGCTGGGCCATAATGGTCCAACAAGGCAAGGAGCATTGTGGTAAGATATCCACAGGTAGATTGTTCATATGACACAGAACTCTTATACCCCATATCCAATATATCGACATATGCGAATATATTATTCCCAACAACTGGAAATTTTATAGCACTATATAGGATTTTATTAAAAGCACAAACTGTTAATATTTCTCTTTACTATATTCTGGAGATATAGAATCATAAGGAAATAAGGGATATTTTACATATCCCATGATCTTGCGATAATTTTTTTCTGCTGTCATTGAATAAATTACTGATGAAATATTGTTGAAAATTTTTTTTAGTGTTGAATATTTTGTTTTTTAATTTTTTGATTAATTGATTCAGTTCTATTATTAGTGGAATTAAAATGTGGGACTGAAGTGATAACCCATTCACTTTTAATATTATGCCAATTTTCTTGGTAATATTTAGTTACTAAGGGATGATTTAAATTTAATAGCTTTAAATATATGTTGTTATATTCGAGCTCATTTCTCGCATATACTAATTTTTGTAGAATATATAATACTGTTTTCACTTCCTCCCCTGTTATATTACGTTTATTGCCGTTATTTCCCTCTTGAAGCTTCACATAACATGAAATATGCATATACGCTCCTGGAAAACTTTCAAATAAGGCCTGTCTATTGGTCAGGTCCTAATCAGCTATTAGGACAATGCTTTTAATTTTGCTGCAATTTTTGAAGCAATAGTATGTCACACCCTTTACAAGCCATTGATAACTTTAAAAGATATACATAATATAGGTAGCAGTATGAACAAGCCATCTTCAAATTTATTACTTGATGTCATGAATCAAATAAAAGATGAGACGGGAGCCTATTGTTGAAGTATTGGAAGGAAGCAACTAGCTTATGGAAATTTATTTCCAAGACTCAAATATGACACACAATATGAAATGCTACACGGAGGTTCTTTTTATTGACGCTCCATACAAGCTCAATAATCTAGGTTAAATAAATTTATTACATATGATTTCTGAATTTTTCATAATATTTTATTAATAGACATGCCATTATTTATTATTTTGGTTATTGATTCCCATGGTCAGTCCCAAATAGTTGCTTTATGGCTTGTAAAGGGTGAGACATACTATTGTGTCAAAAATTGGAGCAAAATTTTTAAAAAGCATAATGATATTAGTAATGGTAATTAATTTAATACAAAATTATAAATATTCTAAAATCTATAGATACTGACAACCTCTTATCCATACTATCAAGCTACCCTGGTCTTACAGGATAAAGTATACACAATTATACAAAGTAATATTATATCTTCATTTAAATAAAAAAAATTTAACTTCATATAGGATATTGACATGATTTTGGAAAGAGACAAACAACAAAAAAATGATGAAAGTATGTCATTATTTGTAGTTTCATTTTTGAATTATTTCTTTTATTAGTTTCCAATTTAAAATATGATCAAAAAATATTTTTTATTATTATTTTAGATAAAGAGAATATGGAAAGCAAAATGTAATAAATATTACCAGCTAAAATGAAAAGACATATCAGGTATAAAGAACTAACAGTTATTGGATTGTCCAGGAAAAAAAAGAAGAAAAATAATCTATTATCTGTAGAAAATATTAAGATAATACTATCTTTCATATAATTTTTATTATAACTTTTGAAATTTAGAACAACCAAATTCTCAGGCAGAATTTATCAATTTCATAATTACTAGCAATATAAATTTAGGTATTTATATATATTTTTTTATTTACCTTATTTAATTTAGCAAATGGAATTTTGCAAAAATCCTGAGAAACTATAGCAAGTATAAATTTTTTTTAAAAATCTATGTATATATTTTTTTTACCAGAAAATAAACCCATGGTCTATTCAAAACTTATATAGAAAAAGCAGTTCAAATTTTAGCAAAATTATCAAAAATAAATGGTAATGATGAAATAGAAAAACAGCTTAAAATTGTCAATGATGATATCTTTACAACTATTTCGAGGGATATGCAATGTCTTAAAAATGATTAGTCGATATTAATCCCATTATGTCATACATTGCAATGGAAACATGTATAAAACTAAATGATTTATACAATCATATTTTAGAGGAACAATGGCTTTATCACAAATGTGACATAATCTTGAAAAATGATTTATCTGTAATATGTGATATGTGCATAAATTAGTCCCATTTCCGTTGTCAAAATATTATAAAACCTCAAAAAAATTTATGGTTTTATGGAAATTGTTGTTAATTGTAATGTTTATAGAATTTATATATTTTGATCATATTTATAAAATATATATTGATAAAGCTTAGTTTGTCACAATTAATTACATTATAAAATTTGATTTAAGCCAACAATAAAAATGGGTAGATTTAATAAAATAACTAATTTTGCATTAACCGTTATTTTTTATATATTCTAAACATTAGGAGATAGTGATATTTGTTTCAAAAAAAAATTTTGAAAACAGTCTTTTAGAAAAAACAAAGTTTAGAAAAAACAATATATAAAAAAACACGGGTATATTACAAAAAAAACAATATTCGAATTTACAAAAAAGGTTTGATTATAAAATGTGATAATTTAAAAAATAACAAGGTTTGGCTGCTAAAAATTAGGATAGTAAGTGCATATAGCCATAATTTTCTATTTACCCCCACACAGGGGCACATAAAATAAAAATGTAATATTTTCAATTTACCCTCAAATAGGAGCACAGAGCCTAAAGTATAATTTGCTATTTACCCTTAGTGGCATATGGCCTAAAATATAATATTTTCTATTTACCCCCAAATAGGGGCATATAGACTCTGCCCTTCACAAAAAGGGCCTACATTGAACTTGGCATTACTTTTAAAGGTGAAATAGAAATGTCTTTATGGAAAATATGTTAAAATTTGTGTTGTTGTTTCTTGTTTGCAAACTAAAAGTAATATTATATAAATATTTTTTACATTTTATTTCACTAATTATCTAGGTTGACCTCTCTATAAGACCCAATATTTCAAAAATTGTGTCAAAATATATAATAAAACAAAATACATATCATCAAAATTTGTTAAACATATTAAACTTATATATTAGATTAGTAAATATAGATTGACAAGAGGAAATTATTATATAATGAGAACACTTTGATCTCACTTTAAGTGATTTGAACAAGAAAGTCACTCTCTTCTTGTTAAAATTTATGTCAATACATTCATTGATAACACCCATGGTGACAATTGCTAAAAATATCCATGATTTCAGCCATTGATTTGATTTTTAAAACATTTGAGTTTTGTGGGTTTAGGCATAGGGGTAAAATTGTATCTTTGCTTACTTACATAAATATTTTACTCTATTTATAACAGTGTAAATAAAAAATATCTATACCAATTTATAAAATATGAATTTTTTATATGACAGAAGACCCTATTTACCCAATTAAAAAATTATTTATGATTTGATCATAAAAATGTGGAAAAATATTTTTGCAATAAAATTATTAAATATAAAATAAAATTTATAGTACTATTAGGAATGCTTTTTGCTGGCTTAACTTCCTCCTCTTCATCATCCAAATCTTCTTCAGAATCATCATCTTCTAAATCAGATCTCTGTAATACTGGTATAGCTAATAGTCAAAAAATATATTATAATTATTTTATCATAATAAATTTATATCTTAACCCTTCTAAAAAAATTGCAATTCCATATATAAGAATTCAAACATCAACCTGTTTTATTTTTTTTAAATTTGATTGATTCAATAGCTTTCATTTCCATTTCATCACGTATGCTACTATCAGATTCATCGGAAGAATTATCTTGATTTTTATTAATCAACACTTGTTGTTTGGCTAATAAGATATAAATAATTTTATAAAAAAAATATAGCAACCTGCTTTATTAAAGTCTTTCTTCCGTTTGTTTGATATATTATTTTTTCCATTCGCTATCCCACTAACCTGCTATAAAATCATAAACTATATTCTCTTACATATAGCATACCTTTATTTTTTTAGCCGAACCAATCATTTTTGAATGGAAATGAAATGTCTTGAAATTAAAAAAACGGCACCGAATATAAAATAAGATAATGTTACTCGTTGACACATGTTCAAGCAATTATTTGATAAATAGACATTTCGATCTCATTAGATACCAAAATTTTAATTGCTTAGAATATATCTATAGTTAGATATAAACGCAGGATAATTATTAACTATAATTATCTAAAACTAATTGGTTGATCGGTCTATTTTAATATTGGTAAATGGACTGATTAAGATTTTAGACAAGATATAGTTATGCCAACCAGATTTTGCATATAGGTAGGAGAAAAGTTATCTTTTTTTCTAAACGTTAGCCTTAAATTATATTATTTAGGATAAAATATATTCCGGTGTTTTCAAAATCAACCCTAATCGGGCTGTTTAACAATACTAGCACCATGCTAATTATGTTAAAAGTGTTAGGTTACCTTCAAATCTTTTATATATCTATAAAATATAATGTGTGCCTATTCTATTTAAGCCTCATAAATTATAACTAATTACATATAAATATTTGGGTAAGAAACTTAAAAACGGTATTAGATATCATAGATTGACTATAGAATTAATTTTATAATTTGATAAATACAAAATTCGAGTTGACCTGATTTCACAACTTTAGTTCGAACTCGAACGGCGACTTAAGTTCAAACTCAATCAGAACTCTAGTCGAAACTTATTTTACGATATCAGAATAATTTAGTTAACAATTCAGGTTCAGAATAGTAATCGCGAGAACTCCGTTCATAACTCGAGTCGCTACTGAGTTCGCAAGTTGAAAACTCTGATCACGACTTTAGCTGAGTAGTAGAGATATTGCCACTACGATTCTATCAGGATAACTCAACTATTTTATATTGGAAAGAGATTTTCACATCATACTTTATGTTCGTTTTATAATTATTTTATTTTATTCATCTATCCATCCCAAATGGCGAAGATTTTCCAGTTCATTTTTTGGAAGAATATGACTTAACAAATGAAATGGAATTTTGATGTCTATGGATTCAAATATTCTTAACTCACTCTATAACATGAATATGGTTATTCAAGACTCAAAAACAGATAAGATTTATATTTCTATATAATAATAATTATTAAATTACTATTTCAATATCGGAAAGCGTAAGTTCCACTCATTTAGTTAAACTACAACTGGGTACAAGGTTTATTGGTATCCTTGAGAAAAAAATCGGCATAATTTTATGAAGGGTGTGACTTCTTAAAATTGACGTTGGCTCATTTTGGGAAGGTCTATGACCAACGTGCTAGATAAGAAAAGATAAAAAGACGACATTTTTTTTTTTTTAAATATAATTAAATTTTTTACATCACAACCTATAACTTTTACAATCCATGGTTATTTTGAATGATATTAACATTCAAATGGCGAATAAAAAAAATGTAAATGTAGAGGACTGCAAGGTGGAACTCACTGAATTAGTCAAAAAAAGAAAGGAAATAGCTGTAAATGAGTTTATTTTTATTAAAATACACAATCTCATTTTGCATACTTAGGAAACTCTTGCAAATTTGGAAAGACAAATATATGCATTTGAAGGTGGTTATCTTGAGGATACTTCACAATATGGTAATATTGTCAGAGGATGGGACAAATATCTCTTTACAAACAAGTAGCCTATTTATCAATTAATATATAAATGTTACTATTACAATTATTGTTACTTGGTGATAAAAATTATTATTTATGTTCTTGTAGTGGTTTAGAAACTCATTGTTTTTTTTGAAATACAATATAAACATCCCACAAATAAAATAATTTAGAATACCTCATAAATGTTAATGATTTACATAATTATGAAGTACTAATTTGTTTGACAACATTGCCCTTTCAATTAGTCCTAGATAAAAATAATATAAATATCAATACCTTTGTTCCACCTCAATTTTAAAAAATATATAAAGTGGGAATAATAACTTACATATTTATGTAAAAGTCTATTAAAATAATTTTTTTTAAACTGAGTTTATTATTAGGTCCAATTTCAAATTTTTTGTGGTAAACTAACTAATCCTATCTTCAGGGCCTGCTATAAATTTATTCTAGACACTAGTCCAGACAAATCCTAGTGTTAAAAAATTGGGGTTAATATGGTCTATGGTTCAACTTTTTAAAAATGAAATTAGTAGATATGTATCAAACTCAAATTGATTATAATATTTTTATTCAAATTAATTATAATTTGATGATATACCTGTTATATTTGTTTATTACAAAAATGTGAAATGAAAAATTTCCCCAACTCCTGCAAACCCATTGCAATTAATTAAGTTATGCCATAGATATAATTTTTATTTCAAGAGTGATACTTGTTTTTTACAATAAAAATTTTACGAATTTTGTCTTTTTTTCCTTTTAATACAAGAAAATCTTCAAAAACTTTTCTGATTTTATTTTTAAAATAAGAAAATGATAATTAATCTTGTCCTTTTATAGGCAATTCCAAAAAAATAAAAATAACATTATAATAATTTAATAAAGAGAATTGGTAAAAATTAATCAATATAATAATACATTTGAAAAAACTTTAACCAACTCATGACACTAAAATTTACGAGACAATTATTAAAACGATAAATACAAATGTATTGAAAGTTTATTAAACAAGCAATACATTAGAAATTAAGTTTACAAAAAGCCCAACTAGTGTTGTTAAACGGCTTGATTTGAGTCAATTTTTACAAACAGCTAACAATATTTTACCCACAAGAATATTATGCAGACCTAAAAATTTTGGCCATAGATGGCACAAAGGTTTGAACATCTATTAACCAGATTTCAAGTTTTAGCAATATTTTTATGGCTAAAATATTGAAATACTAGCACAACCTTTAGATAAAAATTAAATATGTGCCACAATATAATTAATTACAAAGGGCTACTTAGATATAAAGCCAGTGCATGATTTGGAGTAATTCATGCATTAATATAATATTAAAAATGGATCTTATTACATTTTAATAGTGCCATAAATGTTACTCCAAGGAGAAACATGTTACTTTTGAAATAAGGAACACTTTACCATTACTTCTTATCTTGTGAAAAAAGAACATCTTACTCGCTATTCAAAATAAGTAATGTGCTACTCAAAAAATACTAAATATTTAATTATTTTTTTTTCTCCATTTTTAAACAATATTTTTTTAAAATTTTTATCTGATAAATTAGAGCACTCTGTGCTCAAAATATTTTTTCTGGCTAAATACATGTTTAACTTGGCACAGATTATATACCTAAAAACGAATTATTCAATTCAATCCTATATATTTGTTTGTGATTTTACAAATATTAATAACAAAAATATTCAATTTGAAAATTTGAACCTAATATATATTATTTATTTGTATAATTTGAAAATTTTTTATATTTAAAATTTATCATAAATAATTTATTCATAAATATTCTATACTATTGGGAAATATTAAAAATTATTTAAATGAAGCATTTTTTATATGTTTTATTTCCACATCTAATTTTTTTAAAGAAGGAAAATTTCTGATCAAATTATACCTAAGATTACAAATATGTAAATCTTTTATGATTTTCATACATGGAAAATCTTTCAAGATGAAATCACAAATTTTTTTAAAAAAATATATTATATTTATATTATTTTTAAAATTTAATATATAATTTAAGCCTAGTTTTTAATTCAAATCAACCATCAAAGTTCTTCATTTCTATTTTATTTATTACATTTTTGTTGTTAAATTTTATACAGTCAATCAAGGTATGTCTAATATTATAATTTATTTTATAAAGAATATATATCATGTCAATAGTACTTACTTCAAATTAAGATAATAATTTAAGTTTGCTCTAGTCCAGTATAAAACATTTTTTAATAAAGAAAGAACATTAAGAGCACCAAGTCTAAATCTTGTGAGTTAGATTGTGCCCTATTTAAAAAAAATTCAACCTAAATGTCCAGCAGGTCAAATCTAAAAAATATATGAAGGTATAAAATATGAATTCAGATTAAATTTTGATAACAATATAAAAAAATGACGAGGAACTGAATGAATATTCTTGGGAAGAACAAGTAACGTTTTTTGTTAAACAAAAGAAGCACATTACTCATTACTTTTTGAAACAAGTATCGAATGACCTTCATTTTCCTTAAAAACAGGTAATGCCATTAGTAATGACGTTACTTTCATTGACATTACCTTGAATTCATATGGCACAATAGTGATCATAACAGTTGATGGATTTTAAAAATATTTTTATGAGGCTGTTAAATCATGATTGCTATCTCGCCACTATGAGTTCAAGGTTACTTTGCAGCACTACATTTTTATAAAAAGGTGTCATTGTTTCGTAATTGATATATGTTGACTGACGTTTTAATCAGTGTTTTTGCTTACAATACTTTATAACTATAAAAGGTACATAAATGTTATTAATAATTTATTTTTCTAAATTTAATTTGCCATTAATTAATATTAAAAATCCATGAGGTATATTTTATAGTTATAATTGATTACACCTATAAATTGCTGATATAAAAAGATATCTATAAATTCACTCATTTTATATTTGTTAGATTATCCTTTATTAATGATGATAATGCACTTGCTGGCATCCATCCAAATTGTAGCTTAACCAACTGTACATTAAAAGATGAAATAATCTTATTCCTTAGAACAAGAGGTTGGTTATAACTAGAAAAACATCAGAGTCTTTGGATGATTTCTTTGAATAGAATGATACGAATATGAGAGAAAAATCACCTGATTTTTTTTACAAAATAATGCCAATGACTTTCCCAATTTTCTAAAATATATTTATTAAATATAATACACCAATTCTCTCAAATGCTACTGTTGAGCGGTTATTTTGCCAAGCCAATATATTTAATGTCGCTCAAGACTAGATGAAAATATAGCAATAATTTTGTTGATAAAATGTAATAATAATAAAAGAAAACATTTATCTTATCTTATACTAGAAGCCACTTTATTTCTTAAATGATATCATATTTGAATTAAAAATTCAATGAAGTCTAATTTTAATAAGCTAGTGCTCTATTTTTGAAAGTACCTTGTAACAACACTGGTTTTAAGCAATGATTGAATCAATATTGTGATCTTTCCAAGAATATAAACCTTAGAAAATTTTTTATATTTGTTGAAGGAAGTATTTATTTGAATATAAAATTTTAAGCTTCTGAATCATCTGCATATTTAGTCTGGGAAGGGTCCAAACCCCAAAACACCCACATCGCTACATTATTTAAGTCGATATCGGTTATCAATTTGAATAGGGGGGATGGATGATATTTTTTTTTCTGTTTCAATTTATTTATGAATAAGGATAAATTATACAAACGAATCTAATGATTCCATATTATTGGCGTATGATTATTATGTGGTTTTAGACATGTATTTTTTTTTTAAATTAATCAAAAAAAAATTAGGTCTGCATTCGGTAAAAATAAAGGATCATCTTCCGATAAACCTAATCACAGAAAATTCAAAGAGAGTGAAAGGCTCTTTTCCCATTCATCTGTCACATCTCGAGCTGCTATATCTAATATTCCTCAAGATGTTGGTAAGACCTAAGAATTAATCTTTTTTAAAAAAAATCAGAGTTTAGGGATTTAGACAAAAAAAAGGTTATAGTTTTAAATAATTTTTCAAAAAGATGTTTTTTATTTTTTAAGTCGAAACTCTGATTAAAATTTATTTTAAAATTGCTATATTACCTTTAAATGACAAGCTTATTTTTTTAATTGCCGGGCCTATAAAGATTGTGATCCATTTGTGCTTAATTCGCCGCCAATCAAAAATTCTTCTAACATTTCCAACGCCTCACTTAACAGTAGTAGCACTTCTTCCCTTCACAAAACGAATGATCCCGTCAAAAGCGAAAATGTTTCATCTAACATTGCGTTGGTAAATAAGAACTATAAACCTCTCGAAAACGACATAAAATACTTGGTTAAACCTACGGAAACCTCATCCTCTACAAGTGCCGTCTCTAATAATGCGAACAGCTCTTGTACCCCGAAAAACTCCAAAAACGCGCCCAGTAGTACTAACATATTCGACACCTTAAATTTGAATACGGATAAGCCAATCGTTCCAGTAAATTTGACAAAACCCGCCAACATTCATCACAAAAGGGTCTATAAAAGAGCCAGATACAAATGATTCTTCTTTCTTTTCTCCATTAAATTTTAAATATACTTTTATTATTTTCAAGTTTTTTATTTTGAATTTAGAGAAAATCAAATATAGCTCGATAGTTCCATGATATTGTTTATAAATAATAATAAATTATTATAAATATATTTTTTTAATTTGATCAACTCTATATTATTCTAATGACATTCTTCTAGTGATCTTTTATGGCTCGGTTTATAAAAACATGGCTAACCCAATAATTTTAACCAAAATATATTACACAAATCTTGGAGTTTTTGCTCATAGATGGCAGAAAGGTTTGGACGTTATTGATAAAATTTCGAGGTTTATATAATATTTTTTTTAAATCTAAAATCGGCTAAATTAACAGGTTAACAACACCGTCTCATTTCTTAGCCCTATTAAATAATTTCATTTGTCAAAATCCATAAGTTATAAGAGCATTATTATTATTTTTTTTAAAAAAATTATTGATATAGAAATTTTTTTTAAAATTTTCCTCTTATTTTTAGTTTCACATAAATTTTGAAGACATATAACGAGTCTTTGTAATTCGTGATTATATATTTTTGCACATGCTCGATTTTTTACCTTATCTTAACCTTTTTTAAAATAATTCCAAATAAACGACTCATTAATTAGAATCATTTTTATCCCGAAATCCAAAATTATAGATTAGATAAAAAATGATAAAAGCTTTAATTTTCTCAAGGTCCATAAATAAATTAATTAATATTATATATGACGGTATAACTTTAATACAGATTTCTACAAATTCATAAAACTAAGTAAATGAATAAATTGAATGTATACTAAATAGAGTTTTAATACATAGTCACTGGTTCTAAGATATATATTCCATTTTGCAGTTTGAGCTACCTCTAAAAGATACTTATTTTTTAAACAAAAACTATCATCTCGATGTCGATTGAGGTTTAAATTTAAAGGATGTCAAACTTGAATTGAAACTAACTCTTCATTAAGACAGCTAATATTTTCAACTAGGATATAGCCTATTTAACAACACTAGGCAAGAAATAGCTAAATTTTAATAAGATCTTCTAAATGAGCAACGTATCCAAAAGAATATAATAAAAATAACACGTAAACCGTTGAATTCAATATTTTTATTTTCCAGTGACAACGTTTCATTTTGTAATTAAAACTGGATTTGCTTATCCGAAGCATCAAAGCTAATGTTTGTATTTCGTTATACTTGTCAAATAAAAGTTTTATTTATGGATATTTACCAAAAATAATTAATATTTTGTTTTAAAAGATTTATAGTAAATTATCGTTTAGAATCTCCACTTTATCAGAAAAGCGATATAATATAACTATTCTGAATCTTCATTTTTCGATATCTACGAGTTTCATTAGAAATATACTTAGTTCTCATTCATTCATTCTGTTAAAGTCTTCTCCAACGCCATTATATAATATATAAACGCTTAAATCTAAAAAGATTAAAATATACCTTTTATCAATCCAATCTAATTGTGTCTGTCAATAAATCATTTAAATTGATTAATAATATCGTTATAAATAGCTCCAATGCATATTATTTTCACTTTCCAAAATAGGAACATGCGGTAGTTATTGACTCCATGACATATTACAATATTTTCCTATAATTTTTAAATATTTGTTTTAAAGAACTTATTTTGAAATACTTAGCAATTGCAGTATGGCAAAGTTATATCGTGGTCTGAACTAATAACTAAATATATCTATTAAATAAAAAAACTTGAACATGATAAAATATAAATTAAGAGTAAAATAGAAACACCAGACAGAAAGCCAAAAAAAATAGAATAAAGCATGTTGATAAATATTTATAATGTGGATTTATATATCACTTGAAATTATTCTGTCATAAATAGAGACCATGACAGGTTGTCAATCATTGCTGTTTAATATCCATATTTTAAATGATATGATATGATATGATGATCAGAAAATCGTTCTGTATTTGTAGTGTATATTGTAAAATTTAAATGGAAGCATTCTGTAATTGTATTGTATATTGTAAAATCTAAATGGAAGAGGTAAAAGGTAAAGTCAATGCTACCTTAGAGTTATCGACAGACAATTTAAAAATTGAAAGTAAAAACATACAAGATAGGGGTTTATGGGGGCATAAAATAGAGTTTCTTTTGTCATGCCTAGGATATGCTGTTGGATTTGGTAATATCTGGAGGTTTCCCTTTAAATGCTATGATAATGGGGGAGGTATTAAACTCAAAATCTAGACATTATTTATATCTTATAGGTTTTTAATAGGTTGATAATTATTTTAATATATTGTCTTATGGTATTGAATAAATATGTTAAGATATAATTGTACATATAACATATTTAAAAAACATACATGAACTTTGGATGAAAAAATAATAATTTATATTAATTTAACTTAATCATTTTGAAAGACAATTAGTAATAACATTTTTATCACAAATGCAAGTTATATATTATCAAGTTACAATAATAGCAAATAGAAAAAATATATGGGTTTAAAAATCAATCTTAAATGTCATTTTTTTGCAAAACCACATGAAACACATGTGGAAGATTATAATTATAAGATAATTGTTTCCATTTAAAAATATACAAGAAAATGGCACAATGTTTAGTAGGATAAATAGTAATAAATTGGAATAGTGTTTACAGCTTCGTTTTTAAAAATGACTACCCAATATTGTAGCCAAAAAATATTATATAAGCTGAAGGATTTTGCTTATAGATGGCAAAAAGGTTAAGACATCTATTAAGGAGAAGATGCCTGCATAAAATTTTGTCAGAAATCTTAAATATACCTAGGTTGGGAAAAGTTTTCCTATAGCCTAATTTTTATGATGGGCTTCATGCGCTGCCCCCATCTTTTCCCTTTAAAGTTTTTATTCCATTCTTTTTATTATTTCTTTTATTTTTGACCAGAAACATGTCCAAAATAATAGGTTGCAATTTATATTGTAGCTAATATTAAAAAAACACAATAGATTTTTAAAAAAATGAATTGCTTATATCAAATTATCCCATTGTGCCTAGAATCCTATGTAAATAAGGGAGCAGATGAATTTCCTTTTTTTGCTAATTTGGATTTTGATTTCCCTGGCCTTTTTTAAATACTTCTAAATTGGTTTTCACCACAGGCTACCAAAACATTTACAGACCCATATATGTTACACACAAAAACAAATGTAAAAGGATAGATATATTGCATAGAAAACTAGACAAGCTTTACACATAGAATTTAAATAAATGAATTGAACGAATGTGATATAGTTTAAGTTAATAAATCTTGCATACTTTTGGCATGTTGTCCACTATTTTCCCTCAGTCTACATCTGCACTCTTAGATAATCGACATTAAATATTCAATTTTTAAAAGCTTCCACAGATTATTTGCAAAACTATTAAATTCATATTGATTACCCCTCCCCCCTTCCATATGGCCCTTATTTTTTTTAAACTTTTCGTTCATGAATATCAGAAAATTAAAAAAAATATGAAAGCTACAGAAACGAATAAAATTAAATTAAAAATTTCTAAGAATATTCATATGCTCCATAAAAAGGGTATTAATACTGTAATGTTGAGATGCTCGAAATACACTAAATGAAATGCAATTTATCCACAAAATTAAATAAAGAAAATATTTTAAATTAGACCCATGCCCATACTTTCAAACGGGCCCATCTTTAAAATCCGTGCTAAGCATGAAATAAAAGGAACAGAGACGCTGGAAAAACCTCAATATCTGCTTCTTAAACACGTTCCTAAATTAGGCAAAAAATACGTTATGCATAATGCTATTAGAGAAATCAATAAAAGAACTTTGAGAAATTCTAAACCCAAGAATCATGCATCGATTCCTCATCATTTGGAAAAATTTATGATGATTAAAATTATATCTTGATATTTTTTATAAAGGCGATTGGAAAAAATTGTGGACCAGAAAATTCTGCGCGTTTTCTCCTATCATATATTCTGAATGGTCTTACTGTATATAGATACTTATTTTTTTTGGAACATATTAATCTTTAAAATTTGATATCCTAAACCGTGTAAATGGATGAAGAATTGTTTATTGAGATGAGAAAAAAACAATCCAAGATTCATATTTAAAAAAAATGATATTGTTATAGCTTAGGTATTATCAAGGATATAGAATTTTGAAAAGTTTGCCACAACAGCAGTTAAAATAGAGAACGATATCCTAGTTTATTTTTGACAAAAATGATGTAATCGGTTTTTTAGAATGTTAATACAGGATCTCAATGCATCGTACACATTACCTTGGACTGCATTCACAGTTAACGCGAATTCGCGGCGAAGTATATTCAAAAAATGATAAAATACAATATTTTACATTAATTTTTGTATAATTTGCCAGCGAATTCGCACTAATGTTTTGTTAAAATATTAGATAGCGTCGTAATTTAATAATTATATACAAAAAAAAATGTTTGTTTTCGAGTCCTCTGTGACTCAATTGCCATAGAGGTTGGGTTGATTGAGAAATCGAAGAAAGAAATTTTGCATAAGGTTTTTTTTGGTGAAGCCAACTGTAGGGTTTATGCTATGGAGTGTGATATAATATTATATATCTCAGGCGGCAACGTCATTCCGCCTATATATCGTCGGCATAGAATTGGAGTGCTCTTACTTGCGCATAAGTTTAAAATGGGAAAAATTAAAGTTAAAAATCAAATATAGGAAAAGCTTATTGATCAATTTTTGACAGAGCTATAACTTTGGCAAAAATCAATATTTTTTTAATCTAGTTTTTATTTTTATATATATTGGAAATAAATATGTTATTATCCACTTCTACCTAAAAAATGTTGAAAATGTCGGGTGGAACACTCCAATTCTAGACCGACAATATATTAAAATATATGTGGGTCTTATTTGCATTTTATTAAATTTGGTCGTTCACTTTTAATACAATCAAAAATGAAGTGACATATTCTAATAGGCTTTAAAATCAAACGTTGTAATATCCCTAGAAAAAGGGAATTATGTAGGAAATTTTTTTTATTCCATTATAAAAAAAAATCGGCAATAATTTTTGCATAGAAGTTTTGCCCATTTATTGTATAAAATATTTTTAGCCTAACAGTTTACGGATTTTTTCATATTTGCTATATTATTTTTTATAAGGGGGGAGCAATTTCCCTGGAGCCAATTTTCGGGAGGGTCAATCTTAGCAATTCAATTTAACCAATTTAAGTAAGCTATGATGAGAGCCTCTAATAATGGATAAATTTTTAAAAAATTGTTTCTTCTATAGTGCTCATTAAATTTAGATTAAATATCGTTAAAAATAAGAATTTAGTCATTGTTTATATAAATTAATAAAAATTATAATGACATAAAATGAAATGATTAAAATTCATTATTTCATCGGATAATGAAGGTAATTAATGAATTTATTTATTGATAAATCTATTCAATTAGTATTTTATCTTCCATTAGATACAAATTTTAATGGTTGGGAAGAGGGGGAGGGGTTTATTAACCCCGCATTCACAGTTAGCGCAAATTGGTGAATTGGTGGCTAGGTAAACAAAATATAAAATATAATATTTTTACATTCATTTTTGTATACTTAGCCACGAATTTGCGCTGACTGAATGGGGGTAATATTTTAGTTTGGATCTTTATTTCAAATATTGATTCTAATTTCCCAAATTTTGGCATATATCAATTTTTTTTTAAAAATTTTTTTAAAATGACTCGTTACAAAGCGAGGCCAATGGGTTAGGGACGCGTCTCAGGACGTTATATCTGGGACGGACTTTTCCTCTCATTATAAATGCCAATCAATTTAGCTAAATTCCCTTATTTTTAACAAAAATAAAAAGGAATTAAAAATATAATCGATTAGAATCAGTTAAAGGAAAAGTGGAAGGATTTATATTTTTGCCAAATTCGCTGACCGTTCCTACAGAAAATGTGATCTAAAATTTTTTTTAAAACATTCAGGCGCCTTTTTGATTCCATACTGTTTGGTTCTTTTCGCAGCGGGCTTACCGCTGTTCCTGATGGAGTTGGCTCTCGGTCAATACTCTTCCCTCGGTCCCTTCAAGCTATTTCAGAAGTTCAGCCCGGCTTTCTCCGGGATTGGAATGGCTATGATAATCGTTTCTTTATTGGTAAAAAATTTTTTTTTTAATGTATTTTTAGTTGCACTGTTTGATTTTAATTTGAAATTAATCTTCGCTCGAAAAGACAATTATAAGCAAAAGGATATTCGATCTAAGAAAAGCTTTAAAAAGATTACAAATTATATATGGGCCATTTTATTCTTTCCGCACTTTATTTTGACGGAATTTAGTTTATGGATAAACTAAGGTTCATATAACATGGTATCATGTTAATTCGGCGCTACATTTTTCGTCGCGGCGACAAATCGGTGTTAACAATTTGACACAGCAACGATTCGGCCCGGATCTAATTTAGCAGCGATTTGTTTAAAAATTATAATTTTATTAATATAAAACAAATTTATTTATATATATATGGCATTTATTATAGTAAAGAGGGCGTGTTGATGTTTGAACTATGTCCCATTAATTTAATTCCGAATATAAATGTCCTAGACAAAAATACCTCCGGCAAACCAAAAAATACCGGACAAATAACATCGAGCCAATATACCCTCAGAAAATACCCACACTAACTTATGAATTTCTCCATGAACTTTTAAATTTGATATAATTAATATAAAATTTTCCATATATTTTTTATATAAACTAATAAATGATTCAAAAGTTTACAGAAAAATTGTCTACAATTCATAAGATAGGTATTCCTAACATGATAGGATATATTTCCAGTAAAATTCGATTTTCCAAAAAATGATTCAAAATTGTAAAAATAACACAGTGCTGGAAAAAATACATTGCCGCTATCATTTAAGTAAAATATTTAGTTTGAAAAATTTGGAAGGAAAAATGGTGATTGATAGTAATTATTAAGAACAACTGGATGATCTACTTGGTAGGACTTTTGAACGAAGAAAATGAATGGGATAATAATGTTAGTTGTGCAAAGGTAGAAGGTCCAGGATGTAAATTTGGCAAGGATGAAATAAAGAGAGCAGTGAAAAATATGAAAAAAGGGAAGGCATCAGGTTTAACGATGGTGATATCAGAAATGTTTAAAGGTTTTGATGACTTAGGGATTGAATGGTTAATGAATTTGGCAAATCAAATTGTCACAGAAGAAACTATTCCCGAGGACTGGCAAAGAAGTATAATTATCCCAGTATACAAGGGAAAAGGTGATCCTTTAGATTGCGGGTCTTACAGAGCTATTAAACTCTTGGAACATGCAATGAAGGTATTTGAGAAGTTGTTAGAGAAGCGGATAAGGGAACAAACTAAAATTGATGAAATGAGTTTGGTTTTACATCGACAGATGCAATTTTTGTGGTGAGACAAATACAGGAGAAGTATCTTGCGAAGGAAAAGAAACTTTATTATGCCTTTGTTGACTTGGAGAAAGTATTTGAGAGGGTGCCGCGTGAGATTACTAGATGGGCCTTGAGAAAATCAGGTGTGGGAGAATGGTTGGTTATCGCAGTGATGACAATGTATATAGGAGCACAAACAGCAGTACGGACGGATTATAGTGATAGTGAAAGCTTTGAAGTGAAGGTAGGACTTCATCAAGGATCCATGCTGAGTCCATTATTATTTATCTTAGTAATGGATGTGGTGGCTAGAGAAAATCGAGGAAGAATTGAGGGATAAAATTAGTAAATGGAGGATGACTTTGAAAGCAAAGTGCCTGAAAATGAATATAGCAAAGACAAAGGTTATGATTGTTGGGGAAAATCTAAAGATGGAGAAATCCGGTAAGTGGCCTTATGGTGTATGTGGGAAAGGAGTTGCTAGAAATTCAATCCAATACACCAGATGCCGTAGATGGGTACATAATAGATGTAGCGCGAAAAAAGGAAGCTTGATGTTATCAAGAATGACTTATTTGTAGATCGTGCATGAAAGGGGTACATAATAATGATAACGTAGAAAATGATGGTTTGGATAGTGGCAATAGGCTAACCCTAGAAAAAGTGGATAAGTTTTGTTATTTGGGTGATATGCTAAACGCAGATGGTGGTGTAGATTCTGCCGTTGTTGCAAAGGTCAGACAAACATGGAAGAAGTTCAGAGAGATGTCGTCTATTCTAACAAATAAAAAAGTCTCTCTGAAGTTAAAGGGCACGTAAGCTCTGTGAGGAGTTGTTTTGTTTATGGCTGAGAAACATGGGCAATGAAAGCGCCTCACGAAGCCAAACTAGAAAAGACAGAGATGAGAAATTAGATGAATGTGTGAGGTTTCTAAGAGAGAGAAAAACTAGCAAGGAATTACTAGCAAGATTTAATACAGAAATGATTGGAGTGGTAATGCGACGAAATAGACTAAGATGATTTGGGCATGTAGAACGTATGACAAAAGATGACTGGGTAAAGAGATGACCTTGATGGAAGTAGGAGGATCAAGACCTAGAGGAAGGCCCAAGATGACATGGACAAATGTGATAGCGGCGGATATGAGAAGCATGAATCTTACAAATATTGATTCTCAGGACCTTCAGAAATGGAAAAGAAAAATCAGAGGGAAAATTGGCCTACCTAGGTAAACCTGGAAATCGCCATAAAACGGAGAAGAAGAATATGGACGAAAAGCCAGGGCTGAGCAGTCAGAAAAAGTTCATGTGGTATAAGGCCGGGGAAAAAAAATGTGCTCATATTTTTTATTATAATCCTGAATTACAATTTAATCTCACATGGTCAAATAATAAGTGATAGTGATAGTATACATATTATGTAACTTATTAGGCTTATTGATGAATTCTGATATTTGATAGAAGCGATAATCCGTGGCATAGTGTTTTTTCAATTTAACAACTCCACAATATTATAAATAGTTGTTTATTTTGATGTTCAATTACATATGTTTCGGGTTAGGCTTTTTATTTAAAAAACAGGGCTGGGCCGAGCCGACCTTAAAGAAAAATTTGATCTCAACCGGAGCGGGCCTGCAAATTTTTCCATTTGTAAACTTCTAATATGTATCACCCACATTTTTCTAACACCCAAAAAAAAGTGTTTCAGAAACAATGAACGAACTCGGGAAATAGATTTTAACTCCTCGTCAGTTATGACCGGCAACACCTGAGCCCCACCCGCCACTTGAAAAATAATAGTTTTTTTCTGTATAGCATTTTACATCATGAAAGTTATCATTTTAAAACTTGTGAAGTATTTATAACTTGTTATACCAAAATTATGGGTATCATTCTTAATTTATTCCCCATACGACGAATAATTTTTATTAAAGTTCGTTTTGCTTTTGACGCCTCAGGGTACCATTATCATTATTCAATAAATTCATTTTTTAAATATGCTGGATACTTAACGCTTCTAATCGCAGTGACGCTACCTTTACACTTTAAATAAAACCTTATAAGTGGGGTCTAGTATTTCGGACCAGACATTTTATTACTAGCTACAATTAATAACTTTTTTCGATATCGAATTCATTCAGGTCTCCATCTATTACAATATGATATTGGCGTGGACGCTTTTCTATCTGGCTAATTCTTTCACGGCAGTTCTACCCTGGTCCCATTGCGACAATTGGTGGAATACGGCCAATTGTTTTGACGCCTTTAAAGCCCGAGAATGTTCCAGTAAACATATGATCTACCTCAAGGGACATTGTTTTAACGTGTCGCATAATCAATCAGGTTTTGAGATATATATTTTGCATTTAAATTATAAATCTGACAACCTTCTCGAAAAGTTTAATTTGCTCTTATACTGCGGAAATATATATATTTTTTAAAGACCAGAAAATACGTTTGAAAGATTTATTATAGGGATACATTTTATGCAACCCTGTCAGTGCTTTTTCCTTCTTTTTTTTTATAATAAGAATCGTGCAATAGGAACCCAATTTAAGTAAATGTTCCTCAGATCTAGTTAATTTTGATCATTATACTGGAAGTGGGGATAATTTAGCAAATTAAATATTTTGGTCTTACTCTAGATTTACCTTCGATATTTTTTAGGGCGCCGTTATTGCTATCAGATTAAGGCATGAATTTTAAGTGTAAAGTGCAGGAGTGAAAATAGTTTAACAATAATTAGGCTTGAGTTATCTTCGATTTTAAGGTTGTATGAATTTTTTTTTATATTAATCTTTGAAAATATTTATATTTTTTTAAAAACTTTATATTAATTTTTTACGGAAATCTGCTGAACCTCCACCCTCCCCCCCTCCATCACCCCGTCGCTTTTATAATGATACGGATAATTCAATGACACTTAATTTTCTATGTAATATTTTCAAATTAGTTTTTTTTTTCAAGGCAAAATTAGATATTCTAGCTGTAAAACTGGTAACTTACTTAAGGAGAGGTGAGGAGGATAACTAGTCTCTTTAACAACACAACTGGCGATCTTGAACAACCCTAGTCTCAACCAAAAATTAAAAAAAAAACATTGAGATTCCCAACCAACTTTCCGCTCCTCAACAGCGACTTATATCCTTGAGCTACCAACACCCCCCCCCCCATCTTCCACCCCCCCCCCCCCCCCCAAAAAAAAATAATAAGGAATTTTATTAAATTTAACCCAATCCTTGCATATTATTATAATGTGACAAAATTAAAATTTAATAATTCCTTTTAAATGATAGAATTTTTCAGTGCCTTTTTCTCTCTTCTTTTATTCCAACCGCTTAACTTTCCAAAATTTTTTTAAAATCAATTATATATTTTTTTTGTTCCTTAATATCCAACTGCTCATCATTAATTTCCCAATTTTACACGGAAAAATAGAAAGAATTAAAGTTTTGCAAGGCTTTAAATATTATATGTTTTTTACGCATGTTGGTGGGGATGAAAAGATGTAGATTTATACGAGTTTGGTAGGAAGGACTCCCCCGCGGAAGAATATTTCAATAATAGGATGCTCAAGATATCGGACGGCCTCGAAAACATGGGCCAAGTTCAGTGGGAACTAGTGCTTTGCTTATTTTTTGCGTGGTGCGGCGTATTCTTTTGTCTCATGCAGGGCATCAAAACTACGGGCAAAGTCGTGTACTTTACAGGTTCCTATTTTATTTTTAATATTTCGCGCTATTTTTAAACATGGAAATGAAAATAAAACGAACAAACTTATTAATATAAAAGCTTTATTCCCCTACGTAATACTCATCGTACTATTGGTCAGGGCGGTCACCTTAAAAGGCGCCTCGAATGGATTGATTTTTTACATGAGGCCTGATTGGGTAAAATTGGTTCAGTTCAAGGTATGGAAGGAGGCATTTCTCCAAATATTTTACTCGCTCGGTCCCGCATTCGGCTGCTTGATGACGATCTCTAGCTATAACTCTTTTCATCACGATATTTACAGGTTTATACACCCCTCTTTAAAATGTATTTAGTCTTATTATTATATAAATATTTGTATTTATTTTGATCTAATTAGACAACTATGTTAAGAGCTAAGTTTAAATTACTAGCTTTTAAATCCTCGTTCGTTATTTGATTTCATAGTCAACTGGTTTAACGCTTGAAAAATGGTTGCGACTGATTTGCCTATTTTGAAATGTTTCGGGGCTTTTTAAGTTCTGTTCGACGTTTCTATTAATATTTTCTTTATATGGATAGCTTGTGATTGAGCCATCGTTACTATTGTTATTATCATCATTATAATATTATCAGCTGATAACTCGCCTAGAATGACGGGGAATCAAAACTTTATCTTTAATTTGATGGTGGGTGAATATTTTTCCTCTTTGTTTGATGATAGACAAATCATAAATTAGCCTATCTCATTTTCAGAAATTTACCTTTTATTTTTCTGATTTAACCATCGTCTCATAAGGGGGAATTTCTTATTTAAATATCGTCTATTTGATACCCTATATCAATAATTTGTGTGGATAAATATTTTTGATCACCCAGGACCTAGACCTGCCCACTAATGAGGAACTTAGTCTGAGGGTGGAGGTAGAAAACTGGTATGGGTATTATATTAAATAAAAGTAATTAAAATATTCAACAAGGGCGAATATTATTATTTCAGTCAAAAAATATTATAATTATCTTTTATTTGATACCAATATCGATATTTTGTGTTGGGGAAAAATGTTCCTCCCCCCCCCCTCCCCAAGACGTCAATTCGCACATTAAGAAATTTGACTCCAATTGTATAAACCTTTTAATTAGTTATCGATTGATGCCTATATTGGTTATACCTACTAATATAAAGCTAAAAAACAACTAAGCAAGCTGATTTATACAGTCATATGATGGAAAATAAATACTATTGGATGAATATTGGTATAATGAATATCATTTGAAGAAAATATATATAAAGAATACTACTGGTTGAATATTCCTATATAGAATAGAAAATTTTAAAATGATTGACGTTAGGATTATATATATATGTTGTACTCCATATCATCAACTGAAGATTCAACCCTATCCCCTTCGATTTTTTTAAAAATTTGTTTGATAGTCTTTGTTTTTATTGGAAAGTAATTAGTAAGATACTGACGTTTTTTTTTCTTACAATAACGGGAAAATAACGGCGTTACTTTTTAATAGTAGGGTTTACATCAAACAGTATAAAATTATTATGACTTGCTTATAACCTTTTTCAGGGGACTAGAAATTTTAAACGTTATAAACTTAAAATAGCATTTTATTTCCCATTCTTTTTTCACCATTATATACACTCAATCTTTTTTTTTTGCCTGAAATTTAATCGCCATTTAAACATAAAATGTGTAATAAGGGACGGCATGATAGTGGGCTTGCTCAATTCGGGTACCAGCATTTTTGCGGGATCTGTAGTCTTCTCCATAATTGGCTTCATGGCTCACGATCAGGATACTTCAGTTGATAAGGTTATTCACTCCGGACTCGGTCTGGCCTTCGTGGCTTACCCCACCGCTATATCCCGATTAGCATGGTCTCCATTTTGGAGCGTGATTTTCTTCCTTATGCTAATCTCGATAGGATTGGATAGTCAAGTTTTTTTAAAAAAAAAACTTTTTATTTTCGTTTTTCATATTTGAGAAATGTTGTGAGAGTAATTGAAGTCAAAAGCCCGGATTTATTAAACTTTTTTATTTACAGGGTTTTCCAATTCAAAAGAGGAAAAGTGTCAATCAAAAAAGAAAAAGTATCAATCAAAAAACTAATAGGTTCTATCAATCAAAAGAAGGAAAAGTATCAGAAACTTTGGAAAAAGTCATATTTAAAAATGAAAAGTGTCAATCAAAAAAGGAAAAGATCCTACAAAAAGGAGAAAATTTAATTAAAAAAAAGGAAAATTACCAGAGACTTAGTAAAAAGTCAGATCTAAAGATTTTCAATCAAATAAGGAAAAAGTCTGATCAAAAAAAGGTAGAGGTTCAATCAAAAAAGGAAAAGACCAAAGACTTAGGAAAAGGTCCGATCAAAGTAGGAAATTTTTTTTTGTATATTTTTAAAATGATAAAATTTGTAATCTGTTTAATAATGGTGAAATGAAATTTTTTGGTTCCCGGTCTCCCCTAGGAGCATTTTTAATTAAAGGGCTTATATAATTATTTGAGACAATTAAATGTTAGTTTATGTATACGTAGTTATGTTTTATTATTAATATAATATGTAGATCATAAATCAATTTCTTATAGTTATATTTATTCTATTTACACACAAAAAAAAAATCGTAATATATATAAAATGAATTAAATTATAGCCAAAAAGATTAAATATCCTTATTGAAAATAATAGAAAATTAATTTTTAAAACTGCTATCCTGTAAAATTATAAAAAGTGGAGATAAGAATAATCTAATATCATTTTTACCTAATAAAGTATTTTACTAACCGTAACTTGTGTAGCAACATTTTAAAGTAGTTACACAAGCAGATAAGATTTTTTTTTTAAAATTTTATTGGATTTTATTTTTAAATGGGATTAATTAATCGATAAAATATGATCACTTGCTCGTGTAATAAATGAATGATCAAGTATATTAAACTCAGAGAAATTGACTCATAAGATTTTGCTAATGTTGGCGGCGGAGGAAAGCACTCTTATTTATATTAAAGGGGTTTTCACCCCGTAAATTTTATCGGTGGTCTTTAGCTCCACTCAATAGGTTTTACGGGTATGTTGGAAATTTATGAAAATAATTTTCGTTTTTCAACTTTATTTTTTTTTTACTTCTAAAAATTTTATAGTTTGTTATTTTAAAAAGTTATTTAACTTTTGCCAATTTTTCTCTCAGATTCTTGTCTATTGTATGTGATATATTGTATACATTTTTTTTGCCATGGGCCCCTCCTCCTGGCTGCGAATTGGAATTGACCAAACTTTAACGCGATATCTGGTTTTTAGATTATTATTTTTTTTTCAGAGATCTGCAGAAGTACTATTTGTACGGCCCGGCCCGGATTTTTTTTTTAAAAATTTTTTTCGGCCCGGATTTTTTTTTCAAAAATTATTTTCGGCCCTGCCCGGATTTTTTTAAAATATATTTTATTTATTTTTGATTTTTATAGTTAATAATAGCTATTTCAAATATTTGGTTTTAAAATATTAAGCCCGGCCCGGATTTTTTTTTTAAAAAAATTTTCAGGCCCGGCCCGGGTATATAGTTTATAATTTTTTTTAGGTGATTCTGCCAAAGGTAACCTCTTGAAATGTTTATATGAAAAATATTGATACAGATATTATAATTTTTTTTTTACATTTAACTTTTGTATAGAGAGAAAAAATTATGTAAACGGATTTTATGTCCTAAATATTTTCATATACTTTTATTTCAAGTGATAAACTTTAAGCAAATGATCACCCTAAATATCTTTTATTGTATTTAGAAATCTATGATAAAAATACGCATGTTATAGTGTACATACCACATGCAAAAATCACCCCCAGAGAACATTTAATTGTTATTTTTTATCTACAAATATTAACGTACCTAAAATAATCTATACAAGTGACTACTGTGATTAGGTAACCACCCAAGAGCTTTTTAATTTTCATCGTTAAAAATAATGGGAATAACATTAAGTGGGCATTGTGTAAAAGTGGCCACGTTATCAGATTTTACTTTGGTCGACCAATCATATATGAGCGAGCTATGATCTTAAATTTCATAAATTTTATCGATTAATTAACCGCAGTAGCCCAATAGCATCAATATTTTACGTGACCGAAATAATATACATTTCAAGTTTGAAATGATACTTAAATTAGAAATTCAAAATTGATAGAAAGAAAATGGCACTATAATATTTATCGAAACAATCATATGATTAAGATCATCAAATTTTTTTTAAACAATATTTTAACTTAGTTTAAAAATGATGTTTTACAAACAAAATGATATATTTCATAAAAACTGTAAAAATATATTTCTTCATTAAAGTTCGCCATGGTAGAGACCATTCTCACAATGTTATACGACCAATGGCCAGGTGCTCTAAGACCCCGCAAGATTCTGGTCAGTGCCATCACTTGTTTCTTGTTTTTCCTTTCTGGAATTCCTCTGACCATGAACGGAGGCATATATCTGTTTTCACTCATGGATAATTACTCGGCTGGTTGGCCCCTGCTCTTCATCGGCCTTATCGAATGCGTCATCGTTGCATACATTTACGGAATTGAGAAATTTCTAAGTATTTATTTTTTTTGTACGAAAAAAATTACAGGAGTTTCTCGTTCAAACGAGCAAAAAGATTCGAAATAAAAGGGGAAAAAGTACCTTAGGGTGGCTTAAGAAAATACCCGATCGAAAAAGTAAAGGAGTCGATCAAAAAGTTAAATATGCCAATCAAAAAAGGAAATCGTCGGGTGTAATAAGAAAAATTCTCACATATTTTTTTTCCCTCTTTTTCTTAACCTGTCTTTCTTTTAGTTTATTCACGACAGACAGAAAAGTTTGTATAAACTCATTTATGACAGTTAATATATTGTAAAAAAAAAATTCTAGTCAGAAGGAGATTAAATGTCAGTTTTGTTATCTATTTTTGGAGATATATTTTTCTTTTCTTACTTGTAAAACTCTTTCTTTTTTTTTTCTTAATTTTTTGATAACGCCTCGTTTAAGTGATTTATTTTATTTCGTTTAATTTCAGCCCAGAGTTTAACCAAAAAAATTTTCCTGGAGGATCTGAATATTTTTATTTGTCCCAAAAATTTGAGTATGGATCTTTGAAGATCATAAAATATAAATATCTTAAAAACATTTGAGTGATCTTCAAAGATTTTGATCGAACATTACAAAATATTTTGTGATTTAAGATCTTTTGATGATTTTGAAATATAATTTTAAAAAAAAATGATTTAAATGATTTTGCGATAACAAATTCTTTAATTATTTTGAGCATTAATTATTTTTAATCATGAGCGATTTATATGTATAATTAAATTTTATTTCTTAAAATTAGGTTAAATGAAAAGATATATTTCATAGTAAGTTAATCATCATTTTTATAAACAAAAAAAAATGGAATCATATGGGTTAAAAGGGGTAATCGGAAATTTGTCCACTAGGAAAATCGGCTCCCGGAAATTTAAGGATCTAACAACTTTCATTAATTATTATATTAACGAAATCAATCAAAAAAAAATATTCTTATTCAATGTAGTAATTTGAATTTTATTTGTAATAATAAATGGAGGGATTTATATGTCGCGTCAATATCAAAAATATAACCACTAATAAAATTGTAATGTGTATATAAAGATAAAATTAATTGGCATAATGTATAGGAACAGTTGTCGTGGAACGGGTTGGGTCTCGATATTTATCGTCCGACATCGGTCCGGTAACTGATGTAATATCTGATAATCTAATAATAAGAGTGGGAATAAGATACCTTTTTCTTTTTCTTTAAAGTTAAAATAAAATTCGGCATGGGTAAAATTCCATATGTTTTAAGGAAGAGTTGATTCAAAATTTATTTTCGCGGCTTTTCTTGTTCAACGTAGGAATCGCGGGGATTCATTTACGGGTAGTTTAGTAGGAGTAGGAGACATTCCGCCTAGGTCAGTTTGTGATCGGGTGGGTGTCATTAAGATTTCGTTTTAAAAAGCAATTAATTTTAATATTGAACACTTATATATATCAGAGACCGGAAAAGTACATTTGTACGGCCCGGCCCGGATTTTTTTCAAAAATTATTTTCGACCCGGCCTGGCCCGGGTTTTAAGAAAAAAATATTTTCAGGCCCGGCCCGGATTTTTTTAAAAATATATTTTATTTATTTTTGATTTTTGCAGCTAATAATAGCTATTTCAAATATTTTGTTTTAAAATGCCCGGCCCGGATATTTTTTTTAAAAAAATTTTCAGGCCCGGCCGGGCCTGCAGGTCTCTTATATATAAAAAAAAAACTTTTATCCAATTTTATCAAGTAAAAATTGGTATATAAATTTACAAATTAAAGAATATTAGGAAACACAATTTTTAGTACCTTTTATAAGGAAAATACAAAGCGCGATTATAAATTAAAATAAAATTGACGTGAAAAAAAAGAAGGCTTTGGAAAGCGGATTTATTTTAGTTTTATCTTATACTATTGGGAATAAAACCAACCCCTTCCCCCCCCCCCCCTTATACTTCTCGGAACTTTAATTAAACTCCTAGATTCAGGACGATCTCAGGAGAACCTAACTATTTAATTTATAATTAGTGAATATTCTCTACTATGAAATTATAAATATTATTCTGGTTCATTTCTATCCTTCTTCATTAGTAAATTTTGTTAATAATTTTCTTTATTTAATCATTCTAGAAGATATCGAGATCATGATAGGATACAGGGTCAACATTTGGTGGAAACTGTGCTGGAAATATATTGCCCCAGCTAGCACGCTGCTCTTTTTGTTGTATGATTGGGTCTCCAGTTCGGGTCTCTCTTATGGGGACTTTTACATATTTCCCCCCTGGGCCATAAGCCTGGGTTGGTGCATGGCCATTTTCCCTGTTTCTTTCATTCCCGGATTGTTGATATACAATTGCATCACCTTCATCTACAAAAATATTGGACGGGATACCGGCGAAGCCAATATCGATGTCAAGGATAAAAAAATACGGAAATCCGACTTCAAGAGACTCTTCTTGGCCAAGGAGGACTGGAATGAGAATAAGGGACTAGTGGCCAATATGCAATATAACACCAATTTTTACCTAAAATAATGTGCTAGAATGTCGACTTTCTTGTTTATGACTTCCATGTCTACTAAAAACTAAGATTTATATAGCATATTATTTCTTCTTTATACAACTGATATAAATTGATAAGTTTATAAGCCTTCATATTCTGTAAAATCAATATATTTTTATTCTATAAGTGGCTTTATAGATATCATAACTATCCGTGTATCTTTCTCATTTCTCATGTGATTAATCAGTATTAAATTTGAGTTATAATTATAAGTATTATTAACGATATAAGGTGCAATGTTTGTATTTTAAAAAAAAATCGTATTTCTATTTATTTTTTTAATCGTTATTTTTCAAGCATATTTATTTATATCTTACTTCAAGTGTGATTACAATGATTCTGGCAATATGATAAAATTATATTGAATTATATATACGAACTCATAAAAATGTCGTAATTGCGAATTAAAAATGATTTTTTAAATATTAATAAAACTGTAATTGCACTATTTATAAATTCAAATTTGTTAAGTTCTAAGGTCACTTCCTGGTTTGGCGTATTTCTAAACAGGAGGTTGTTCAACCGTCTATATAGCTTCCAGCTTGAAAAGAAAGTATTTAGATTTAAGCTTGATACTAAAAGAGGCTGTACATATCAATATGGAAAACTAATTGCAAACTATATAAATATAATTAATAAGTGCCTCATGAATGGAGTTATAAGAAATTAAGATTCAGGTCCTCATTATAAAAAAAAATTTTAATTATAAATACACCTATTACTTTAAAATAAGGGAATTTTTAGAAATTACAAATAATAGGCAGACGATATCATTTATAATGTGCAAAATAGGCAGAAATTTGCAAATCTTAAATAATATTCATTTAAATTTGTATGCAATCAATTTTTAATTTAACAAAAAATAGTGCCCTCATATAAGCAAGCAGGAGCGGACTGGCGACGCTACGGCCTCGTGGGCATTTTTTTATAGCGGCCTCATTTTTATGGGGCCGCACCCCATACTCTCTTATTTTGCGGGTCTTCGGCCGGGTTCCCTTAAATGGCTTCTTATAATTATATGATTTTTATTACCTCACGATTTACATTTTTAATAAAAATAGAATGTATGATACGATAATCATATTTTTATTTAAAAAAATTGCACATCTAAAATTATTCATTACTTCTAAAAAATATTTAATGTACATATATAATTTATATTAGATTTACAACGATATTACACTATAAAATCAATTAATTACACGTATAAAATTATTGCATTTATACAATTTTACACAGATAATAAAATCGCTGCACTTATAAAATCAGGCACCGATCATATTGTAAATAGATATAAATATGATTTATTACAAGAATTAAGATAATATATAATTATTACGTTAATAAATCTCTCATTAACTTTGAACCTTTGCGCAAATAAACAATATCTTCTAGTTCAATCTGCGCTAATTGCCCTCGTTCAACTGGCATCATTAAAAATGCTTCTAATTTTTCTTGGCCTATACCTCTCTCAATTTTTTATAATTTTTAATTTACTAAATGTTCTCTCGCAATTAACCTGCTCAAATGACAAAGTTAAAATGTATCATATGTCAAAAATAAATTAGTGTAAGCACCTTTAAAGAATTTCATACACACATATTAAACACTCGTTACATTTATTTTCACACTCTGAGTTATTATCATATTGTAATATTCCTGACTTCTAACTGCTACATTCGATATCATAGTCCGTTTCATTTAATTCTACTATTAAATCTTTAAATACACTGTCAAATGAACACAATTCGTTACGTAATTTAACACTCAATACATGTTTTTCCAAGGCCTTTTCAGAAATACCTTTACTATTTATTTCATCAAAATGCCTTGGATTCAGATATTGTACATTCAAAAGAAGCTACTATTCGCAAAAAACAGTTCCAATTCAATTATAAAACGAAATACTTCGGCCCTATAAAGGTCAATCGATTCTTAAGGACGTTCATCTTGGTCTTCATCACTATATATTCTCTTCGCTCGTGAGCATTTTATACTCAGATACTCTCTGGGAGCTATAAATATTAAAATGTTTCATTTAAATTAGAAGCCATTTTTATTGTTTTATTTTGAATCGATGTAATAGTTACCGATGCTACAAAAGACTTAGCATCTTCTATCATTTTCTATACTGATAAAATATTCAAATTTTTGAAGATATAATGACATTAACATAAATTATCGATCAATGACCGAGCTTCTTATGTGGTTTTTGCCTCAAATCAATTGCTGCATGCGTGGTGAATTTGTTGGGTTAAATGCTCTTATTAGACTAAAGGCTCAAGGTAGTTTTTTATATTTAGTGTTAGAGTCACATATTAAATCTCTGCATATATTATTCATGAAGACAAAAATTTATTTGGATTATTGTACAGACTAGTAACTTCTTTGGTAAATCATATAAAAGGATGGATGCTTGGGTAAAATAGAATAATTCATCTGGCTAAAGTAAATTGAGAAGGCTGCAAAATAGATGAGACAAGGTGGTGGGCACGTGAAATAGCCCTTAGATGGATATATGGTAAAGAGAGCTTGCCCCCAATAACGATAAGTGCACTTTAATCATCAAATGATTCTCCTATTATATTTCTCATTTGAATTCCATGTTTTAAAAATATTCAAGATATCAAAAAATCCTTTTCCAGAAGAGTTTGTAACTTATGTAAGTGCGAAAAGCCTTTCTGTTATTTTACCATTATATATGTATTGTAGGCAAATGGTTGCTTGATCATAAATGCTAATGTCATAAGTAATATCCAATTGCAAACTAAACCGTTTGTTACCAATCTCCTTTTTTATTAAATTCCTAATTTGATCAAGAATAACATCAATAACTTTTTTAACAGTTGTTTTTGACAACAAGGTTATGAGTAAACCTCTTCTCTTCGATTATGATTATGTCAGAGTTTAAGCTTTTTTTTTCTATGTTTGCTCTTTAAAATAGCTTTCTCTAAATGATCTCTGAAATTTAATCATTCTTTGATATAATACGAATCATTTCCAGGAAATTTCCATGTTTCAAATTTTCATTTTTAAAGTGGCTAAGCGTTTAAGTAGCATTTGATCCTCTGTAGGTAAGTTTTATCTGCCTAACTGATATTTGTTTTATTATGTGGGAATCGTTATAAATTTGTCGATTTTTTCCATTTAATATTTTAACGCTAATTCTAATTCAATTATCAAATGACATGTTTCTTGATGCTCTGAGGTAATACTCGACTACACTAATATGAACTCTTGAATTTCATGTATTTTAATTACTAAATGCATATGTCGAAAATTTGTTAAGCTTGTTATGAAAATATTTTCGCATACTGCAAATGCCAGACAGATTGAGCAGTACACAGTTTTGGCTTTATTGCATATTAGTTTTATTGTAACACATTAACATTATTAGAAAATCGAATTGATCAAAAATTTATTTTATTAAAATTATTATTTAATTTCCATGAATTAAGAACAAGAAATAAAATCATAAATGTTGGCTATATTATTTCTACAATAAATCAATGTATAAAAATATAATATAATAAATTAATCAAAACTTAACTTTTACTCTACTCAAACGGAAGCGCTTTCGCTTTATTTGAAAAAAAAACCAGGTGGTAATGATTTATAGCATCAAGCGACGTTATTGATATTTTATGCATTAAAATATAGTAAACGACATAATTCTTAAGGAATGTGATATTCAAATAATATAGATACCATTAAAAATAAATAAATGATAAGAGAAATTAATGTAAACATAATTTTTATTTTTCTAATCGGCCTCTTTTTTATATTTTCTTCTGATCGGCCTCAAAAATCGACATTTTCTCGCGGCCTCGTGGACAAAATGCCCACCTGGTCTTATGGCGAGTCCGCCCCTATAAGCAAGCGATGGTGAGATATAATATAATTGAGAATAATTCAATTATATGAAAAGTAAAGAAATTAAATATTCGCTGATCTAAATAGCATTAACAACATTAATTAAATTGATTTTCTTTTATTATAGTTCCCTTATTATTTTGTATCAAATTTAAAAATTTTTTGCTAATCCATAATTTAATCCCAGGCGTTTAGATTAATAGTCAGATAGATTTCAATAGTATTGGGCTATTTTAAAAAAAATTGGCTTAAATTTGTTACTTACTATACCAGTGGGGGTGATATACTGTAGTCAGAATACACTTTTATGAAAATAAAACACAATTATGTTTGAGCATAGCAAATAACTTTATTATACAAAAAAAATAATAATATATGTATATTTATTTCATTACTAACCATAACAACAGTTTAATTCTTTTAAATTAGGCTACACCCACAAAATAATTTACGCATTCTTTGCGAATTTCGATATTTGATTGGGTATTTTCTTGAACTGAACGAGAGATACCATTTTAAAACAATACTTAAATCCAGATTTAACCTTGATACGACGTTTTTTGACATTTCTACATCTTAACTCTCTTAACATTTTTAAGGATAAAGTGCAATCCAAATATTTACAATTTAATATATATTCTTCCTGGTTTTTTTCCATGCATGTGAACCTCCTTAGGGTAAACTGCAGGGGCTCGAGACCCTAAAAAATGTGAATAGCTATCTAAAGCAAAAATTTTTTTTTTAATGGTTCCTTAATATTCCCTTGAACTAAAAAATAAATTTTTTTCAATAGCCCCTGAACAATTTCTTTTATAATTCTATTAAATATTATTATTATATAGATTTTTAAAATTTTTATTTAATGAGTGTTATTTTAATTATTAGATTAGATTAATAATACATAATATCAATATCACTCATAATGTCTAAATATCAATTTAGCTTTAACAATAAGAGACAATAGCCCTAATTAAATAAATATAATCAATCATTTATTATTTGAAAATTTATAAATTTAATGTTGTAATTAGCCGAGTTCAAAATTACTAATCAACTATTTTATTAATTTTTTAATTTAAATATACTTCCTAAAAATATTTCCAACGATGTGTAAGAAATTTCTTTATAAAAAATAAGTAGACTCATAGTTGATAATCCTCTATTATATAGAATTGGTTACAAAATATTAAGTAAAATGCCACTTTTACAGACATATTTGATAGTTATAGAATATATTACAGATAATATTTTAATAAACTTTACTATCAATGCTTTTGATAATATATATAATCAACAATTTGCATTTAATTATTTAACACCATCTATTTATTTTAATATTATTAAGAATTAATTATATTTTTCATCCTACAATGGTTATAATCCTTATTAGAAATATTTTTTTCCTTCTCCTTTTTACGTGTATCTAAGAAAGCTATTTTTTTCTTCTTTGAAAAACAGCTTTGAGTTGA